AAGCGCATATTAAACCAAACATTTCGATCGAATTTGATTAATTCTTTACAGCATGTGTGAGGACGGTATCTACTTTACTGTGTAAGGAAGGACAGTGATTTACTTCATTTTATGTAAACTACATTAACCCATTGAGTGCCAGCACTCTCCCTTTGACGAGTGACAATCGTCTGGCGTTAGACAGAGTAAGGGTGCATTGGGGCGCAATGCAACTCATTGGTTAACTATACTCTATAGACACATGGCACAATGATCGCCAGCGGCTCTCCCCTTGTACTATATAAGAGTTACATGAAATAGAAGTTGATTTATGATGCCACAAATTCATCGAAAGGTTAAACCTACGGGCCGGCATAACCCACTTTCCTTTTAGTCCACATAGCCACCAATCATTCGTATTTGTAAGGCTGTATGTTTTCAAATTTTGCTTTGCAAATTAACCAATGCATAAAGACCGGCTATAAGTTAAAATATACCGAACATACCTTTCCTCTGACTCGCCAAAATATTGATTTTCTGCAAACAGCAAAGCCAGTATGTTGTATCGCAGCCGTTAGACTTGTCAATGGTGACTTTTGATTATGCAATGTGTTTTTATGGTTTCCGATCAATTTTATTCCTCCCACTGCATGCATATATAATACGCGTGGGGTATTGTCAGTTCAGTTTCTCTGGATGTTTCAGCTATGATAATATCATTATGGTCCATCTGCTGAATGTAAATAACAGAAACAAAAACACTAAACAATCAGTTTCCTCATTTATGGGAAGGGCAATATCAGTACAACTAAAGAGGCTGTGTGACAGATATATTTTCAGACATGTATATAACGCTTGACTGAGGATGCCGGAAAAAGACGGCTACCGCCTACCCGGCTAAATACAATGAAATTGACTGTTTCAAAAGTGTTTCAAAATGAGCACAAGCGTGCTTAAATGGAAGAAAGAGTGTTGTTTTGACAATGAACTCCGTTGGATACTGGAAACAACGTGCCAATGGCTCTCTCCTCCGCAGATGCTTTTAAATGATTAATTAATATTTTGAGAGAATTTCGTAATTGTGATAAAAGGTAAAAAATGAAAATAACCGCTAAAATTCGGTGCGCGGCGCGGGAAAGATGGAAAGCCGGAAAACGCGAAAATTAGGGAAGGCAGAGGCACGATTTGTCAGCCAATGTGGCATCAAACCTGGGGGGTTATTTTAATCGTTTTTTGTATTCTGGCGCAATTACGAAATTCTCTCTAAATTAGTTTTTTATTGAAAGCCTCTGCGGAGGAGAGAGTACCACCTACATGGCCAGTATGACGTTAGATATAAAGCAAGAATGAAGAATAAGTGCAAAACTGATTACAAAATAAACTACCAGTGGCGTAACTACTATGGGCTCAGACCGGGAGAACCCGGGGGCCCCCAACCCAAATGGGGGCCCCCAGGCTTAGGCAATAGAGCAAAAACATTGATATGTTACAATGTCGTTTTATGACCATCAGAATTGTGTAAAATCTCTCCCCAAAGTCCAGGAAATGGCATTTCAGGGAGTCTAGATTCAAAAATTTTCCGGATGAGCATGCCCTGGACCCCCTAGAGAACTTGTGCATATACGGCGCTCGACTTGTGCCTTTGGCACTTCTACTAGGGGGGCCTTCGAAAATTTTGAACCGGGGGCCCCCTGATATAACGTTACGCCACTGTAAACTACATCATTATACTAGAAGCTATAGTGCCCCTATAGTGCTCCTGCAGTTGACGTTGGTTTGAAGAGACGTACGAAAAAGAGCTTAAAATGGGATTTGTTTCCACTGAAACAGCGTAACACCCACGTTTGTATGGTGGATAAACTTGCCAGTAGCTTCTAGTGGGATTAGTAGGTGTGGTGTAGTTAATATAATCGATCGACATGGGTGTGACAACGTTCGCACGCTAGCTGTGCATGTCGAAAAGATAAAAATTGATCGAAAAGATAAAAATGAAACATTATGCAATCACTTACTGCACTAGATTTTTCCAAACTTAAAATGTTGAATTATTCCAAGGAATCAAATTTCACAATAGTTTGATGAAATTTGCTTCGTATCGACTGCATGTTTTTAAAAAAAAGTTTTTAAAACACATACAACGAACAAAAGCATATGGCGCTTTGAACATTAAAATACCGAATGGTACCTTACATATCCCCCCACAAAAGACGTATAAACCATAACTTCATAAGTTATTAACAAAATATCTCAAAATGTCAATATTTTAGTGTCTGATGTATCGCAAACTTTGTGCGAATAAAGTCAACCATATGTCTAACATGGTACTAAAAATGTATTTTGCTCTAGGCAAAATTTCATGGTTCAATATATCCTTAAAAACTAAAAGCAAATAACAATTAACGCTAAGTAAAGTCGGATACAATGGTTAAATGATATGATAGAAATCCATAACAAAAAACAAATGTCTCAATGGGGGCGTTGGAATTTTCAGAGATTTCGCCATTTTTAGATCGGAGATTTCGCCACTTTTAGATAGCTGTTTTTTAACTACTCAGACGTGATCCTTTTCAATGCGGTGTTGATCAAAATGTATTGTGGTTTTGCGGTGTCTAATACTTAATGGGCACAACGCCCCCTCTTAAAATATTCCTTAATTATTTCTTTTCAAATATAAGCAAGTAAATGCATAACGGTTGTGTAGGTGGAAAATTCGAGTGTGTGAATTTTTATACATTTATTAACCTAACTATGAAAATTAATGCAAGTATAGGTCCCTCTGACAGGAATCGAACCTGCGACCCTGCGATTCCGGTGCAGCGCTCTAACCAACTGAGTTACAGAGGCTAGTCAGTGTCGAGCTCTAACCGCAAGTCCATGTATGCACTTTGGTGATGCCAATGCAAGGTGTAGGACTTTGGGCATCTATACACTCAATAATTAATTGTAGAAGGGATCGAGTTGTAACTGGAAATTTCGAGTGTTAATTTTTATACATTATTCATATCACACTCGCAATGTCCATCTATATAACTCTTCTACAATATTATTACGAGTATAGATAATATTCCCAAAATCCTGAAAAATTGTGCAGTCAAATACGCAAAAGATACATGCTTCCCACGGACAAGCCGAGTTAGACGTATATCGTAATCGGATGATTCCGACCGCCGGCTCTGTGCTATGCAAAACAATAACTCACCAGTCACAGAGTAAGTACATACAGAAGTCTCATAGCTTCTGCGGGAAAACCGTAAGGTAGCTTTTCAACTGCGCGTATCTGGCGGCCACGTTCCTGGCAAGTGCCCTAAAGAGAGGCATTCCCCCCCCCCCTGGAACATTAAATTTCAATATGTTTCAGGTAAGAACATGGCTAACTGAAAAAATCCCTTACACTAAATCAAACCAGACGTGAGACCTCTGTGCCCCAATCAGTCCTGTAGGATTTATATTAACCAATATCTGCAATGGCACACGTTTGCACGGTATTAAATTATTGAAAAATTAAATAATATAATCTATTTTCATTAGCGTTAATTGAATATATTGCCAAACGCCAAAGGATAATTCTGATAATAATGGAACACTTAAATAGATATATTTTGCTTAAATAGATATATTTTGATTAATAATTAAAAGTTGTAAGATATAGAATCATGTGATCTCCACCTCTCTCATCTGGTCAGCGAGTTCATAACAGTGAAATGAATAGAACTGGAACGCTACTTTCAACCAGAAATTTGGAGCCAAACTTTGAAGGCCAGTCTCAGTCTTTTCATGCATGCGAAAAGCGCGGTCAACCTTTAACATGAATAAGAAGCTTGAAACGCGGTGGCAATAGAGGCCATAATTTTAACGAAGCAATGAGTAATTAATCAACGGGGAGGAAATTTAAGCGATGTACTCATACAGGACTTTACCTAATTCCCAAGTCCAGAGGTGTCAAAGTCGAATCAAGTCCGAGTTCTTTGATATTCAGTCCACGTCTTATGTGTTCAAGTCCGAGTCATACCCTCATGAAATCCGGACTGGAGTGCAAATCCGCACTCGAGCCCGGACTTGGACTCGAGTCTTTTATGTTAGATCAGGTGATGTTAGATAATATAAAAGATCTTTATAGAATTAATAATCGGCTAATAAGATAAAGGGCTCTAAAGCCGATATCTCAATATCGAAAACCAATCTGATAACACAGGGTTTTCACTTCCGCTATCGTTGCGAAAACAAGGCTGTATAGGCAAGGCGTGTCTGAGGCAGTGTTTCCACTCCCAAAAAAATAATTTCCTTTTCCATAACCCAAAATTTCCTTTCTTTCCACAACATTTCCTTCCAAAAATCTCTAAATATCCTTCCATTTTTCCTTCAAAATTTTTATCAAAATTGACAGATTTACCTGGTAATTAACATCTAGACTCTAGTATTGAAACACATTATATTAATTTATAGCAGATAACTTTGTATTTTGCCGGTTAAAATCAGCTCATATTCGCCCCCGCGGGGGACAAAAAGCATAATAATTGGGGCTACTTGCTGTGGGTGCGAAAAGAGATTCCATAACTGTTTCTTGCATCTCTCGCCTCTGCCACGCTAAGCAGCCCCCCTCCCCCAAGTAGAGTCTGAGAAATAATACCCTGGGTACGAGGTTTGGTTGTTATTTCAATAGCGATTCTGGGGTTCTGTGCTAGATACATAGTTGCCAACTTTGGAAAAAAAACCATCTGTGAGATCTCGCTTTGGGGGGCCCACGAGGCGCACCACCAGGCCCACCATGGTTGGCGCTGAGCGGAAAATTTTGGAAATATGGAGTCTCCAGATCGTTGGAAATTGCATTTTCAGAGTCTTCTTTTGCACAAATTTGTATGAAAATTGCCTTATTCCTAGAAATTATGAGATAAAATAGATTTCCTTCTCATTTCCCTCCTTATAACAATATTTCCTCCCAAATGCTATTTCCTTCCAAATTTCCTTCCAAAGGAATTTCCAAAGGCCCAAATTTCCTTCTGGAAGGAAATTTCCTTCCAAATGGAAACGCTGAACCGGCATCAGTCGGACATGCGCATTAGAATTCTCGCTCCAATAACTCAAGATCTCAGCAATTCAAGATGTCGTCAGAAAATGGAGTGGACGGTAAGTATTCAAACTTTAAATTGATTTAATATGTTTGTACTAACTATTTTTTAAAATTTTTAATACATGGCTTGTTATAGCATGACTATTGGATCAGTTCCTACTTTTTTACTGTTCGCGCGAACAAATTCGCCTAGTGGAAAATGGAATAATTGTAGCCGTACATCAGTTTTGCTGGTCATGTTTGTTAGCTTGAAATTATATTAATGTTATGGTAGGGGCCTACCAGAAACCTTAACAGGCTTTTATTTAAGACCCCTATAGATATAAAATTTAGATGCTAGTTCTAACTACAGACTATACAGTCAACCAAATTTAAATATATTACAATAAGTATTATAGTTAGAAGAAAAGAAAGAGAGAAAATGTGAAAGCTATTTACAGCATAAAGTGTTACATTGTACATATAATTTGATTAATTACTTGATATTTGAAGGAAGTGTTCTTTTATAGTATTTTTGAAAGTATTACGAGAAGTGATATTCTTAAAATGACATTCAAGTCCATTCCAAACATCGACTCCTTTATTTGAAAGAGTATGTTTTACATAGTTCGTTCTTTTGTATGACTTGTGGAGTTGTGTTTTATTTCTTGTATTGTGTTGGTGGATTTGATCATTGGTCACAAAATAATCAGTGAATACCTCTGGTAGATTTTTGGTATAGTGATATCGAAACATAAATAAACTTATTAAATAATCATTAATTTTATAAATATCTAGAATTTTTAAGTCTTTAAAAATTGGTTCGCTATGTGCCAAATAAGAGTTGAAAGTCATAAGGCGCACAATTTTTTTTTTAATATTCATAAGCTTTTGGATTCTTTTTTTGTAGGTATTACCCCAGATTATATTTCCATAGATAAGATATGGATAGACTAAAGCATAGTAAATAAGCTTAAGAGCATTTAAATTTGTAAAATGTCTTATTTTTGCTATTACTCCAGCAGATTTAATAACTTTTTTTGCTACTAAATCCACATGTTCATTCCATGTCAAGCATTCATCAATGACAATACCAAGGAATGTGGTATTTTTTACCTGTTTTAATTTTTCTTTGTTTATTTCTATTGTTATATCAAAATTCTGTTTTTTGTTATAAGATCTAATAATAAATATTAAAGCCCAGCAAAGTGCTTTTAAAAGAGCCATAAACCATTAAATTTAAAATTTTATTAAAGATTTAGTAACGTTTCGTCTTAACTCAAGACATCTTCAGACTATATTAAATTACAAGCTGTAAGAGTAATTAAGCATAAAGTAAAGTTATCATAGCAATATTAAATTACAAGCGAATACGAGGTACACAAAACGTAAGGATAAGAAAGGATAATGAAGGGAAGTGACGGACAAAAATGAGAACAGACAAATTAGATGACAACACAAACAGACAAAACATAAAAAAAAGGAGATCAGAATACGTGAAGAGGAATTGAACTGCCTTGAATGTTGAGAGAGGGTTTCATTTTAGAGATAAAAAAGCTTTCATGAATAAGGAGTTCTTGTTCATCTGAACAAGAGGAGAGGATTTCGAAGTCGTCAATAGAAGCAGCGTGGCCTGTGGATGTAAAAATCCTCCCCAGTCCAGCATTTTCTCACATCCACAGGCCACGCTGCTTCTATTGACGACTTCAAAATCCTTTCCTCTTGTTCAGATGAACAAGAACTCCTTATTCATGAAAGCTTTTTTATCTCTAAAATGAAACCCTCTCTCAACGTTCAAGGCAGTTCAATTCCTCTTCACGTATTCTGATCTCCTTTTTTTATGTTTTGTCTGTTTGTGTTGTCGTCTAATTTGTCTGTTCTCATTTTTGTCCGTCACTTCCCTTCATTATCCTTTCTTATCCTTACGTTTTGTGTACCTCGTATTCGCTTGTAATTTAATATTGCTATGATAACTTTACTTTATGCTTAATTACTCTTACAGCTTGTAATTTAATATAGTCTGAAGATGTCTTGAGTTAAGACGAAACGTTACTAAATCTTTAATAAAATTTTAAATTTAATGGTTTATGGCTCTTTTAAAAGCACTTTGCTGGGCTTTAATATTTATTATTAGAATTTGTTTCCCGCCTGTTACTTCTCTGGTAACAATTTTTTATAAGATCTAAATAGAATAAACTTTGTTTTTGAAGTATTTATAGATAATTTATTTATATTTAACCATTCAGCTACTTTATTAATTTCTATTTGCATAATTTTATTTAATGTTTTAAGACATTTGTTACTATGAGATATCGTTGTGTCATCCGCAAATAATATAAATGAAACTATTTTACTGCAATGCTGTATATCGTTTATATACAAAAGAAACAAGAGTGGTCCCAGAATAGAACCCTGGGGGACTCCACTTTTGATTGTCATTTCTTTTGATTTCACCTGATTGTATTTTACAATTTGTTTTCTATTTGTTAAATAATCTTGAAACCATTGTTGAGATATTCCTCTTATGCCATAATATTCTAATTTTTTAATCAGAATCCTGTGATTAATTGTGTCAAAAGCCTTGGACAAATCTAAAAATATACCAATAGTGTATTCTCCTATATCTATTGCTCTAGTAATTTTATCTAAAAGTTCAATAATTGCAAAATCTGTTGATCTGTTTTGTCTAAACCCATTTGATGTTTTGATAATATCTTGTTTTTTTCTATGAAGTTGATTAATCTTTTGTACATGAGTTTTTCTAATAATTTTGAAAAACATGAAAGAACAGATATAGGTCTGTAATTGTTAAATTTGTTTTTTTCATTAGCTTTAAAAATAGGTGTAACTAATGCTATCTTTAGCTTATCAGGGATAATTCCACTTAGGAAAGTCAAATTAAATATATGAGCAAGAGGCTCAGAAATATTGCTGGCAGTTAATTTTAAAAATTTCGAACTAATATTATCATATCCAGGACTTTTATTTTGATTCATGTTAGATATTTCTAATTTTATTTCATTTTTGGTAATTGCTTCAAGAAACATGCTATCTTTGTACAAATTACTAGTGAGATAGTGCTCAAATGTTTTTTGACCATCATTTTCGGTAATCTTTTTGGCCAGTTCTGGTCCAACATTCACAAAATATTCATTGAATTTGTTGGCTATATTAAGAGGATCTTTAATTAACTCAGAGGGGTTATTCCCAACAAATTCTTCTGGTAGTTCTTTTCTTACTTTATTTCTATTCATGATTTCATTTAATGTTTTCCATGTCATTCGAGCATCATATTTATATTTTACTAGCTGTTCTTCATAATATATTTTTTTGGCCATTTTTATTATATGATTTAGTTTATTTTTATACTTTTTATATTTAGTTTTGTTTTTTCACTTGGGTTTCGTAAGAAAGTTTTATACAGCTTATTTTTCCTCATCACTGATTTTATAATGCATCTGGTCATCCATGGACTTTTGCCTTGATCAATATTATTTTTAAGATGTTTTGGTCTTAATGGGAAGTTAGTTTCATAGGTTGTTGTGAATATTTTAGAAAATTCATTAAAAGATTTTGTCGGATTTTCTTGAATAAATACATTATCCCATGATGCGTTTTTAATTGAGTTTATAAATGATGTTATGTTAGAGTTATTAATTTCCCTTTTATAGATTACGTTAGTTTGTTTGGTACTTTTTTCTTCGGGATTTTTTTAATCAAACATGCATGTAATATTGGTAAATGATCGGAGATATCAGTGAATATAATTCCATTAATACTGTTCTCAACTTTTTCTATATTATTTGTAAAAATATTATCGATTATTGTAGCAGTATGTTCAGTAATTCTAGTTGGTTTTGTTATAAGCGGAACAAAAGATGATGTAAAAAGTTGTTCAATAAATCTATTGGCATAATCACAGGACTCTGATTTGAGTAAATCAATATTAAAATCTCCCATAAGATAACATATTTTGTTTTCTTTATCAATTTTATGTAGTAATACATTCATTGCATTTTCAAATACTTCAACTTTCTTGTTTGGAGGTCTATATATTGTTCCTACGATTATGTTTTTACTGAATGGCATGTTAATTTCGATAAAAACTGATTCAATTCCATCTTCGTTAACGGAATTCAAATCCTTGCGAATCTTGTATTCTGTTTCTTTAATAATATAAATACCTACTCCTCCGCCTTTTTTATTGCTTCTGTTTGAGCTTATGAAATCATATTTTTCTATATTAAAGTTATCGTTATTGGTATCATTGAGCCATGTTTCTGTTAAGCCTATTACTTTAATAGGTTTTCCTAGTGAATTCAGAAGGTGTTTAAACGAGTCAAAGTTTTTAGATATACTTCTTATATTTAAATGTAACAAGGAAAAGTAATTTTTTTGTTTGTTTTTTGTGATGACATCTTTAAGTTCGTTTGTAAGGTAAGAGTCACACTTTATTTTGTCAATGTCAAAAGACGAGTCCGGATGTGCGCTGATTCCACATAATTCTAAATCATTACTCAGTTGAAATGGGTTAAAACTTGATTGCGTTATTCTATCCATATGACCATATCATCTTGGCCAAAGGTTCTACCTCTTGTAATGTTTAAGTCGTATTCTAAATCATCAAGCGATTGAAACGGCAAGGCATTGTCAAGGCATAATTTGCATATATCAATTTCCGCATCAGTCACATTAGCGTCAAATGATTACAGGCATGCAGACTTGGCGTGATACCATCTGTAACATGTGTTACATCGGTTACATTCAATCCATTTTTGGTATTTCCCAATAGTTTTAAGGCAAGAAGAACATGTCTTCTTGTTAGTAATATTTGATTTAGGCATTAGATTGGTTTCTTATTTGAAAATAAATGTTAAAAATTATGATTATAAAGAATAGGCTAGTAGAGTATATGTATTGATATGTAAAGATATGTAATTTGAAACGAGATTATGTCAAATTAAAAACAACACCTTCAATAATAAGTTTGTCCCTGACCATCCTTGCCCTTTTCTTTTCTGCTTTTGCCTTCTTATATTCTGGATAGAGTGCTTTTCTAACTCTTTCAATTTCTTCCGGTGTGACGCGAAATTCCTGACTTGCGAAATATCTGACTATTGTAGAACTGCCCATGCGCAGACGATGCGCATGAATGACTTTGGCTCATAAATTTCGCAACTGAACAGACAACACGTGTATTTATAAAGCCATTTTATTTATACATAAATTTTCCAACATTAATTCTACAATTGATCAACTGAATTGACACTATACCACTGATTGTGAACGTTATAATAAACCTTGAATCGTAGATATGGAAATATCACTCGAAAAGCGATCTTAGTGATATAAAACAGTTTCAAAGGTTATGCCGTATATGCATTACTATACTATAAGCACTAAAAATCGTTTCGCGTTTGACCTTCTCACTATTTAGTAAGCAGCAACGATGAGTTCGAAGTTCATGAGTTGGCCGTTTAGATTTGGCGATGTTTATGCTAGAAACATTTGGTAACATCGCATATGGACTTAAAAATCGTTTCGACCGACCGTATTTAGCAAACGTCGTGTATTTCGCGGTCACGACCACACAATTCGCTTTGAAATTTAAAGTGTTTGTGATTGAAACTTAGCGATGTCGATTTGAAATATTTAACGAAGTATTAGAAATTAACATCATGATTATTTTATCTAAACTCTAAAAAACAGTTTTGGCCGACTTAGAATTTAGCAAGCGTCATGTATTTCGCGCCTGTACGCGCGAAATTTCTGACCCGTCACGCTAGGTCAGGTATTTAGCAGAGGTCAGGAATTTCGCTTGACACCGGGAAAAACCGGAAACGCCAATTCTCGTTCCTTTCAGCTTTCTCGCATTCTTTCGTATGTATTCCCTGTCCTGGAAGTATAATTGAATTTCACCACTATAATCTATTGGCCTAGGTTTCGCGTTGGTCTGAATTTTCCTTCCAATACGGTGGGATCGGTCAATCTTTATCATATTTGCCGCATCACGTACTTCAAATTTCTCTTCGAGTAGGCTATGAATAATCGCAGTTGTATCTTCCTTCTCCTGTTCGCTAATATTATAAAAGACTAAATTGTCTCTCATTGACCTTGCGCTATCATGTAACACGGTATTTTCATTTTCCAGACTCTTAATTCGTTTCTTTGTTTCTTCATCGCATATTTTTGATAATTCTTGCTGACGCTTCAAATCATCAATTTCTGCATATGCGTACTCCAAAGATTGCTTTAATCCTTTCATCTCTTCTTCGGCAGACTTAACTTTCTCTTCGATAATGTCAAGCTTGTCTAACTTCCTAGCCATCAGGCCCATCACTTTTAGCAATTCCTGTATTTCATCTAATTGCGTATTATTTTCCCTCTCTTCTTGAACAATCATATTAGTTGTATCATTCTGTTTCATTGATTTAGATTTGGCTGACTTTATGGGCGTATTATTGCCAGAAATATTTAAACTTTGCGCATTGCGCTTGGAGGCATGTTTATATGACGCCATGATATATGATATGATAAATGCGGTGGTTGTGCCTCAAAATAACGATCTTGACGTTTTCTATGCAAAAGTAACTTACTTTGATCACAGTACTGTTGAAAATCTTGTGCAGCTTGCTCAATTGCGAGAAGTACTTGTCATTGATTTGAGTTGTAAAAAGTTCATAGCTATGTTTATATTAGTTTCTTACATTCATGCTACTGTATAATGTGGGTTGAACCAAATTATCTTTCATTGACGATTTCCTCTATGTGTTGTTTCTTAGCATAGGCACCCAGATTGTTGGGCAGACAAGGCAGTCGGGCAATATTCGTTTCACGGTCAGGCAATATTGGCTTATTATAAAAATAAATAGGAGAAATTCTCTCAATATTGGGTGAAATATGCTATATAATAGTTGAAAATGGAGGGAAAATATGAAAGTTATAATAAATTATAATACATTTATTATATAAAGTATAGTGCTTTATAGAGATTTCAAAAACTCATTAATAATTCATGAAGCAATTATCCAATCTTGAGTAAGAAATTAGTCATGTGCATACGTCTTTATACCAGCTAAAGAACACTTTAACAAAAGACCATTGTTATGCAAACTATATAAAGGTTTTTATATAAAGATTTTTATATAAAGATTTTTATGAAGATTTTTATATAAAGATTTGACTTATTATGCATACGTTTTTGAAGTCATTTAAAAAACTCGCGGGTCGTGTTTTATTAGGTCTAAAGCCACTCGCGCTGCGCGCTCGTGGCTTTAAACCTAATAAAACACTCCCGCTCGTTTTTTAAATAGTACTTCGAGCACTGATAAAAGTGATAATTTCACATGTGAGATTATTCATGATAATCTCACATGTGAAAATTATCGCTTTTCAATTATTGCTTTTCTGTAAAAATTATCGCTTTTCAAAGACTGTCCTATATATAATAAACAGAAAAATACATGGGTGCTTGGAAATACCAGATTTATTTCTCGTGTTGAACATAATATCTCACTTGTTCGCTGCGCTCACTTGTGAGATATCATGTTCAACACTCGAAATAAATCTGGTATTTGCACGCACTCATGTATTATTCTCTATTTCAAACACTCATTAATAATTCGTAAGCTTATTGGCCAATCATGTCAACCATAATATGTCACGTGCAGTGGCTTTAAACCTGATAAAACACTCCTAATTAGTATTCTTTATATAAAGAATACTAATAAGACAATATATCTATTGAATTTGTGTCGTGTTTGAAGTCGTTTAATAAACTCGCAGGTCGTGTTTTATTAGGGCTAAAACCACTCGCGCTGCGCGCTCGTGGCTTTAAACCTAATAAAATACTCCTGCTCGTTTATTAAATAGTACATAATACATTCTGAAATAATATATTCCGAAATTCCCCCATTGTCAACAACAATTTTGGAAAGTTTGCACAGGAAAATTTTTTTGACAAGTCGGGCATGGGAAAAGTCAGGCATAATTTCTTTCCGCCCCCCCTAATTTTTTCCTTCCCGTAAGCCTATGTTTCTGGGTACGTAGGGCAGGTTACAATGATAGTTCTGCAATGAAGCGTGCTCTCGTTTTATGGTGCAGAAGAATCAAATGACGTCTGGTTATGGCCTCCTCCACAGGCATCTTGATTCTGCCCACCAATCTAAATCCGATGCCTGTGAAGGCGGCAAATCTGGTTAGATGATATAGTAACTGTGAAATTTGTTCGTATGGACTGTAGTCTGATGATTGATAGATGGTGGTTGGAATTGCTGTTTATGTACAGTCAATGGTTTGTTGTTTGGTTTCCTCTAACTAAGTTCAAAAACTTTCATTTCTAAGATCAACATATTAATTAACAATTATTCGCCGAAGGCGAGGTGATTATCGGTGAATAAAAACCGAGACGAAGTCGAGGTTTTTATTCACGATAATCATCGAGCTTGAGGTGAATAATTGTTTTAGTATAATTTCATAGGTGATTATTTGGAAAAAACACATTTCTTCGTCATTTAATTGACAAAAAGGCTTCGGCCGCCATTTTGAAAATCGCTTTGGTGATTATCGCGTAATAATCACCTCAACGGCAACCAATCAGCGTGGAGAATTTTTAATAATCACCTATGTAATTATACTAACTTAATTTATTAGATATGAAGAAACAATAATACAACTAAATATCTATACTGTCCTTGGAAAGTCACTAATACTACATATATTGCATTAAATACTACATATATCATGATATATGGCATCTACTGGGTCAGAAATAAGGAAAGGTGCTAAATGCAGATAAAATACATGAAATAACCATTTTATTAGAATAAAAAAAGGCTATTAAATATCATACAAATATATAGGTTTTTGAACACTTTAATCAGTAGCTTCCACAGAAAATCAGTCCAATAATATATCATTGAAAGATGTTCAGTATAGACTGCATAAATCTTTACTTTAAACCGCATCAAGTAATTCAAATTTTGTAACATAGTTTGTATGCATAAATGTTATTACTAAGCAATATCTCTTCGAAGATTTCTCCATATTTGTGTTTCTCCGTTTTTCGGGTGGTTTAACACATATGCAATTGAAGTGATGGCAAGTACTTGATAAACAATTCCATTTCCTGTGAAAACATCGTTGTTTTGATACTTCCCAGGTGATGATTCAATTTAAATTTTAACGTTCTCTTGACGTGCATAAATTTTTTTATAAACAGAGATGTCTCTTCCATTGTATAGCTGCATTATATCAACCTTGCAATTTCTTTAGTTTGTTCTATATATATATGCAACTGAGTTGAGGTCATTTCTGAAAATTAAACAATTTTCTGTAAGCAATACGAATGAGAAAGCCATGATCATGCATGCATGTATATCACAAGACTACATATACACTCCTTGTCTACACATATTCGTTAGTTTGTATTTCTGAAAAAGACCAAATGTGATACTTTAATTACTTTGGACTCCTACTTGATACTTGGAAGCCGACATATTAGGCCTATTGAACATGTTTTTTTAATTTTTATAACAGTGATATGTTACTATTTGGACTACATGCATGACAGCATGTTACCATGTATGTCAAACGACTATGTCAGTAAAATAGTGTGATAAATTCAAAGCAAGATGGTGTATTTCAGTGATTATGAGTATACACAATATATTAAACTTAGCAGATTATGCTATGTGTGGAACAAGAACTTCAGTCATTCGGCCTATGAGAAAAGTGAGGCCAAGATGGCGGCCATTGACGTCCAATAGCTCTGAAGATCGGAAACAATTTTTATACCATTTTTCCCCAGCTAAGTCCAGTTTTTTCTAACGGACCGGATCGCTAATCAAGTTTTCAGTTCGTAAAATCATAATATTAGTCTTTAAATCAAAGTCAAAATAGGAAATTTCGGCACACTCCTTACCAAGATGGCGGAAATTGAAGGAGTTATTGGACGTCAGTTCCAGCCCTTTCCATTGTTTTTGTCTGCGCGGTTAACACAAAGCTGGCTTCACTTTGTGGACTTGAGTTCTCGCTCCAGATATATATGCAGCTCACTGTCTCTGCCAAACTTCTTAGTCTCCGGGTCGTCAAGGATAAATAGGCCGACAACATATGTCTTCTGTTAGTTGCAACTAATTCCTTGGTCTGGAGTTTTTCCTAATTATGTGTGTATTTTGTTTACACATGCACCATTCTCCCATACAAATCCTCAGAAAAATTTGAATTTCAACTGCAAGGGCGAATTTAAATTTGTATGTTCTGAGTACGTTTGAATAGAGGATTTTAATCGTAAAAGCATGCACAAACCGTATCATTTACGATTCCGAATATATACTACTTTGTTTTGTAGATGAAAAAAGACCAGCCCAAGAGGAAGAACTTGAAGATGATGTTTATGAGATCATAAGTTCAGGTGTGCAAGACAAGACGTACTGGGGTATAACAGTCAGGAGATTGGGAGAACTTGATCTTTCACGTCGTCCTGTATATGAACAACTTGGTGTTGGTGGTTTTACTGGCTGGTAAGCAAAATTGTTGAAACAAGATGTTCCAATTTCACTGAACTGAACAAAATTAGTACATAGTTGCGTACAGATTGGTACGACTGTGCGTTGGGAAATTGCAACGTTTGTTTAAACTTGGAGTGTTGTAAGTATAAAACATGTGTAGATTGTAAAGATAATTATAGCAACTCTGGTTCTATACATAAGGTTCAACGTTGTTCTCTGTAAGGGTTTGACTTTGCTATACTATTTTTCTTAGTGCAAATAATACGTTTGTGAGTGCAATTATTGCTGCCGAGCGTACACTATTCTTGACGTGCTATGGTTTCTCCAGAGTCCACTCGACCCAGTCTTTCGCGCGATCTATGTATTGTCGAGATCTCGATTTTTTGTCTGTCTGTAAAGATGTTTGTCGTAATTCCGGGGAAATAATTAAGCTTCAGGAAGTTTTTTCAAACAAGGGAGGCAGTCAAACTGCGCATGCATGATTCTTCTCAGGATTTTAGTTACGAGCTTATTTACATGCAGTATGTTGGACTTTCACGATGCAAACCATCGATAGTATTTTGAATAAATCAGGTAAGAATGTGAAACAATATGATTTCATGAATTTATCGGCAGTTTTAATAGCCCACTGATCTATTTATCTACAATGTCTTATTTATACAAGAGTCAAAATGTACTTTTAGTTTATTTGTTTGTGTGGCGATGTGCCAAGGCGATGAGTTTATAGTGTTCATTCTAGATGTCAATGTGCTTTCAGCACGTTTTAAAAACAAACGCGTATGTATGCACGTCTTTAATAATAATCAGGCTTAAGGTAATTCCGCAGTTTTGCATTGCGCACTTTTACTGCGCACATCTTATAACTTATAATTTCATCCATTATACGTACCGTTTAAAAAAAATATCATTTTATGACAATTTTATGTTACTTCAAAACATCTTTGGTATACATTCGTGCAAAGAATTACGTTAAAATCAATGTTTTCACTGAAGGCATACAAAAGTGTAGCTAGGGTCCTGTGTCTGTAGTATATTTATTTACTTGTATTTCACGTTTTAATGCCACAATTCCTTAAAAAAGATCGGTGACCCCCGTTTTTTAACTGACAATTTATTTCTTTAATGCATTTTACATTTCATATCCGAAATTAAAAGAAAAATCATTTCTGGATCTTGAAAAAAAATGCTTTATCAATGCATGTTCTCTGAAGAAAGATATGTAAAGAAATGTGGAAAAGACATTTGTGGATCAGAATTGTACACGTCTGTAGTTTCATTTTGCTCAAAACACAATATTTTTTCATAAATAATTACAAGATAGGTTTACTAAAGCAAAATCCACGCTACAAACGTCAATAAATATCGGGCTGTTGCGAGTTTACTGTTACTCGTAATGAGCGTCAAGATTGCGCCATATTGGGGTAAAGGTGGTATATTGTGATTGTCATATCTTCTTAACGAGTTCGGTGACTGTAGTGTATCGCGGTAAATATCGGATAAACACAAGAGTATAGCCGCCTGGTTTGGTGTGTTGTATAACTTGTATATTATGAGAATGAATACATTATAAAATTACAAAGCGGAAGTTGGTAAACATTAGTGTACAGTATAATATTAACTTATATTAATTGGGCTGGATACTACATCTCTCCCCACTTTACTATAAAGTCCTCTTAGTATTTGTCTATTTCGATAGACTGTTCTTTATGTAATACGAGTTCGAATACTCTAAACAAACTTTTGAATTTCAACATAGCAAGTGTGTCTTTTTTTATGACACTTAGATTAACATGTCCGTTTATGACGTTTATTAATATCTCAGTCTGTTGGGAGGTTGTCTGTTCCGTTGAGATCTTCTGGGAGGTGGTGGGGCAACTTGTTGCTTCAAGTTGTGTTGGGAATGTGGGATTGGATCATCGGATTCATCGACTGTCGCATCTTCCGGGTTGAAGGTAGCTTTAATTTTTTTGAAAAACGAAACGTTGCGGGTAACTTTATGAGAACCACGTTCAGCAGTGACCATACTTCCTTTCCTCGCTACGACCTTGTAAGGACTTGGATTAAAAGGAGTGGACAACTTGTTTGCTTTCGGTTGTTGGATTAGGACTGTATCTCCTACTTTTATTTCGCTGGTTTCAGAACGTCGTCGTTTGTCAGCGTATTCCTTCATCTTTCCTTCCTTCTCACTGTCCGTTTCGTGGATGGAATTATCTGCTTCAGGATTGGGAACTTCGGTGAGCTGGGGAAGAAGCGTTTGCAGTTTTCGGCTGTTTAGAGCTTCAGATGGGGATGTGTTGGTGGTGCTGTGTGGAGTTGCACGGTACTGGCGTAGAAATACGTTCATTTCTTGTTTTCTCTAAATGGGCTGTACGGATTGCTTTTTCGAGTGTTCGCATAAAACGTTCGACTTCACCATTAGCTAGGGGCCAATAGGGCGTAACCTTTCTGTGTTTTTACGACTTTGGGTATCCCTTGTCTAGAGAAAATACCATTGAGTTTGGGTATGACGGCGATTGCGGTTGTGGAATGGAGGATTTCGACTTCCGGAAATCTGCTGAATTCATCAATAACTGCAAGTAGTGTTTCGCCCGATGGAAAGGGACCAACGAAGTCAATAGCAATTTCGTTCCATGGTGCTTTTGGTAGTGGGGTCATTTTCAATGGTTCTGGTTTTGGCATGGTACCTTGTGTTGCAGCTTGGCACGGAATACAGTTTTTTATTCTCTCTTCAACCATTCTGTCGATCGACGGGAACCAAACTTTCTCGCGTAGTAGTCGCTTGGTCTTTACTATTCCCTGATGACCTGCGCGAGCCAACTCAATAGCTTGTTGCTGGAGTGATTGTGGAAGAACCAAACGTGTTCCTCGTAGGAGTATACCGTCACATTCGGATAGTTCGTCTTTTACATTTGTGTATGGTTGGATTTCTGGATCAGACCAAATACTTGTTTTAATTGCTTGCGAAAGTTTTTGGAGGGTGGAATCGTTCTCCGTTTCTTTCTTCACTTCTGACATCGTCATAGCTTTAGGAGTTACGTTGTTGCAAAGATAGTTGACATAGTTTTCAGCGATATTATCCGGGAATGGAGTGGTTTTATCTGGATGACGGCTTATGAAGTCGGCAGGATTAGCATCGTCTTTTCCTGGTCTGTATATGATCTCGTGGTGGTAAGGCATTAATCTCAGCTTCCACCGGTCGATTCTAGGAGAGGTAGGCCTGTGGCTCTTGAATATTCCGAGAAGAGGTTTATGATCAGTTATTAGTGTGAACTTCGCACCGTATAGATAGAGATGATAATGCTCAGTTGCCCAGACGACTGCAAGCATCTCTCGTTCTGTTTGGGAGTAGCGACTTTCGACATCAGTCAGCGCACGGCTTCCGTAGCTGATGACTTTACCATCTTGCATTAGAATAGCTCCTAGACCCGTCGGGCTTGCGTCAACGAGTACTTTGGTGGACTTCGTTGGGTCAAAATAAGCCATGACTCGGTCACTAGTTAGCTCATTCTGTAGCTTTCGAAAAGCGGTTTCTTCTTCTGTCTCCCACTTCCACACGGAATTCTGATGGGTTAAGGCACGTAAAGGGGCAGTAATGGTGGCATAATTCGGGATGAAGCGTGAAACGTACTGTGCCATACCAAGGAGGGACTTCACTTCGCTTGGATTTTCTGGAGGTTGCATGGTCTTAATGGCATTGATCTTCTGAGGGGCTGCTTTGATTCCGTCGGCGCTGAAAGAGTGTCCATAGAAGATAACTTCTGACTTACGGAATGCACATTTGTCTCGGTTAAGGCGGGCATTGTGTTCTCGCAGACGGGTTAAAATGCGGTTCAGGTTTTCATCGTGTTCTCTGACGTCACGACCGTAAACAATGATGTCATCGGAAATGTTCTTGCATCCCGGTAGGCCAGTTAAAAGCTCAGCAATTGAATTTTGGAATATTTCTAATGCGGCATTTATTCCGAACATGAGTCGTTTATATCGTCGAAGACCGACATGGGTGGAAAATGTTGTAATGTGCCTGCTTTCGGGTTCGAGCTCGAGTTGCTGGTATCCGGATGTCAGGTCTAGGCTGCTGAATACAGTCGCGCCATTTAGATCAGTGATGAGTTCATCAAGTGTTGGCATAAGGTGCTTTTCACAGCTTTGTTTGCCTCTCGTATGTCAACACAGAGGCGAATTTCTCCTGTTTTCTTTGGGACTACGACGATGGGACTGACCCAGGGGGTGGGCCCCTCGACTTTTTCGATAACATCGAGATCTTCTAAGCGTTGAAGTTCTTTTTCAACATCTTTTCTAATATGAAATGGAATGCGGCGGTGGGACTGTTGCTTAGGTTGGATCTCAGGATCGATATGCAGCTTGACTTTCTTGTCTTTGATCTTGCCGATGCCATCGAACAAGTCTGCATGGATAATTTTGTTCAGGGTGCGTATTTAAAGCGGTGTTCAATGCAGTGTTCACAGTTATTTTTAGGATCCCTAAGCTTTGGGCAGTGTTTCAACTCAAAAGGTTTCCATTTCGTCCTTTGGTGACGTAGAAGGTTGCAGTGACTGTGGTTGACCGGAAACGAATTTCTGCAGTAGTCATACCCAAGAGTGTCAGTTCCATATTTGAGCCGTATGTGTAGATCTTGGACTGTGATGTGGTAAGCACAGCACTTTGATTATATTTTCTGATCTTTTCGTATGTGGATTCATCAATAATGTTGACGGAGGCACCTGAGTCAATGATGGTTTGAACTGGTTCGTTAGCAATATGTACCTCACAGAGTGGTGACGTATTGTGTTGATGGTTGTTTTGGACGGTGAATAGATATTCGGGTTCCTCTGATGGGGTTTCCGATACTTGGTGGATTTCGCGTCGATTGGGTTTTGATCTGCAAACCTTGGCAAAATGACCGCTTTTCCCACATGCTCGACATTCTTTACCTTTTGCAGGACAGTCGCCGTTATGTGGAAAAATTCCACCACAATTGCGACATTTTTGAGTAGGTATTTGTTGATTTCCCGGGGGTATTTGTCGATTTCTGGTGGGAAATTGTCGATTTCCGGGGTTTTTTTTGTTGATTTCCAGCGTTCCCAAAGTATCTGGACTTCGATTGTTGATATTTTCCGTGATTTTTTCTGTTTCTCGTGTCTCTTTGGCTTTGCTCGTGTTTGATGGAATTTACGGGTGGCACGCCTTTTTCTACGGCTTCGGCTTGTGCTTCGCTCTTGTGCTCTTCCCGCGGCTAGTAGATCTTTGAGAGTTGGATTATCACGCAAAGCTTGTCGTCTTATACGTTGTGACAAACACCCAATAATTATTTGTGATTTTACTTCTTTATCGACGTCGGTAAAATCGCGAGTTGTCTCAGCCGGGTATTATATGCGTCAATATTTTCTCCGTGTTGTTGTTTTGCTTGGCGAAAATTGTACTCTTTGAATGTTGAGTTAACTTGAGGCAAAAAGTATGCATTCAGAGCGTCTACTGCTTCTTTATAGTCCTTGTCTTCGCCGGTATCAGATAAAGTATCGAAGATTTTGTCTACGGCCGGGCCAGCATAATGTAATAAAAGGGCGCGTTTTTGTTTTGCTTCTGTGATGTTCGTCGCTATAATAGCCATTTCTTCCATCGTGGGCCAACGTTGCCATCGACATGGACGTCAAAAGGTGGAAAGTTAGGCAAAGAAACATTAGGGGTTGCCATAAATGTTTTAAGTTCAAGCGCTTCGTTGAACAATAGCTGTACTGTGACTACTGTTGACTATTTTGGCGCGTTATTTTTTGTTTGTTTTGTTCGCACTTTGGAACTTCGTTCGGCCGTTTCTGTTGCTAAAAACTCGGTCTTTTTAGCAAAATAATCAATTTCGTCGATTTGATTACGTGTAGGTTTATTATTCTCGTCGCCAGAATGTAGTGTATCGCGGTAAATATCGGATAAACACAAGAGTATAGCCGCCTGGTTTGGTGTGTTGTATAACTTGTATATTATGAGAATAAAAACATTATAAAATTACAAAGCGGAAGTTAGTAAACATTAGTGTACAGTATAATATTAACTTATATTAATTGGGCTGGATACTACAGCTACCACATTTGGGCCGAAAATGGCCAACTATTTCCGCACGCAATGCAAAAGTATACAAAATTTTCAAACTTTGCAAGGCTATATATTTTCTGCATTTTACAACAATTTTACTCATTTTAGAATGCTCTTTCTAGTTGTGGTGATTTATTTGCATCTCCTTACAGGTACATGTACCTAAAAATAACCCAGTACCTCAAAACATACACAGGCATTTAACTTGTTATAAGTCTTAGTTTAAAGATAAAGAGCAAAGCCCAGCAAATAACTTTAAAACCAAACATAATAAAAGGAAAAATTTAATTAGCTAACGTTTCGTTGTTTACAATACAACATCTTCAGAGCTACAACTGACTGTTGAATGTTATTGATAAGATATTTATCTTTATGGAAAACTGACGAAAGTGGGAAAGTGATCATATTGTACTCCAACAGGTGGGCGGATGGGTATTTTTTGCTTTGTCATAACCAGTAAATGTTTCATGAAACAGCTGCTAAATGCTGTGACCCTAAATATAAGTTAGCACGTTTGATCTGTTATAAAACTAAAAAATACAGAGTAGCGAATTAGCGAAATAGTCGCTACATTTTTAAAGCAGTAGCTGTAGTCAGTAGCGAACTACCTTTGTTCAGAAGTAGCAGTAGTTGTAGCTGACTACATATTTTTGAAGTAGCTGTTGTTATAGCGAACTACAAAAATTTTGTAGTCAACCCACCCTTAATTGGTATGTCTCAACACAAAAGATTCACGAAACAGTCGACATTATTGAATAATTGAGTGGTATATAGGGACCATTAAAACACGTTCTTTGTATGTTTTGAGGTACAAAATGTTGAATACTTGTAGATTGTACATGAAGCTTACAAACGTTTTAAAATACAAGAATGCATGAAACCAATATTCGGCAATAAACAATATCTCAAAATAAAAAGAATTCCGAAGTATATCACATATTGTATTGAATGATAATGTCACACAAAAAGCACACAATACTTTTAATAACACGCAATTACATTGTGCTACATGTACAGCATATCTAACGAAAGCCGGTACCTATTTTTTAGAAGTTAGTTTCACGGCGTTAACAATGACAAGATTACCCTTCATTGTACTCAGTGTTAGCAACATCATTTCGACTTTTTCTTGTTCACAGCAGCAGCTGGTAATATCATTTCTGGTTTCTTGCCATTTATTTTGCAACAGGCCTTGCTGCAAATGGAGCGTAAAATAGAGTGACATGATGGGCATTCCTTCAAGTCTGTAGCCGGACATTTATGTTCTTTGCAGTGTGCACACACATTTTCTTTTGCATCGGTAGAAGTCCTCTTTCTCTTTTTCCTTTGCTTTCATCTTGTCCTGGTTCAACTGCAACGTTTTTTTGCTTATCCTCGTTGATTCTCTTGACCACTTTGATGACCTCCTTCCCTTCCATCGACCCATGAACTTGTGTGACTCGTGTAGATTTTGATGCCTGTTTCGGATTGATTTTCTGAATCCTCAAGAGACCAGGACTATTCTCTAAACGTACACTTTTCTCGTCGCAATCACGAATGGTTTGCTCAGCCATCTCAAACTTTGCCTTCCAGTATGCGGCAGACCCTTTTCGAAGATGGTTTGGTGATGCAGGTGTGGTGGTGGAAGAAGGTGCGTTGTCTGAAGACGAGGGTGTAGGTGTGTTTTCTGACCTTTCACACTCCACAAGGTTTGCAGCTTGAACAAATTTATCCTGTTGCATGTCATTGATATTTAGCCCTCCTGCTGAAATGCCAACCCTCTTTGCAGCCTTTCGAATGAGCGTCGGCGTTGCCCATTTATCCCACATGTTAGCCAATGACAACATAAACCCTTCTCTATTAACTTTCATCGTCGGTGTAAAAAGGCCGGCCTTTGCAACTTTATACTCTAGATGAATGATCTTGTTGCATTGATCTAAAAGTTGTGTGACCCCTGTTGTGTCTGGTGGAGAGATGAACAGGCGGATCTTTTTCTCAAGGCTGAACTTCAAGACTTCATCACTCGTAAGAACAACAGGTCGCTCAATGTTTTCTTTATCAAGATACTTGTCGAACAACTTGTAGCAAGCCAGTAGTGACGTATGGTCCTGACACCCGTTGTCTGTCGTTGATATCAATAAGTTGTCAATCTTCTCAACGACTGTTTTTGGAGCCATGAGATCTGTGATGCCTGTTGTGCCAAAAATAACTTGGCAAACGCAAACAAACCCTGACACAGAAACCACCGGGTTAATGGTTACACATTCACGGTTCTCGTTTATCATTCGTTTACAAGACTCACCATGTCCGGCATAAACAAGCCCATTTGGTGTACCATCAACATCATAGTTTATGAATTGTTGTGTCTCATCATGGTTAAACACTCTGCTGGTATTGATTTGCCCAGTCCACACCCCAGGTGCAACATGCTTGGTGTTGGTAAAGATGCCGGCATCAATTAACTCCTTCGCCAAAGCATCAAGATGAGAGGAAGCCATGTCACGTGTACAGTTCATTGCTCTATTCATGGTCCCAGTACCCTGTCTTTTCATTCGTAAATCATCATGCTTTGCATCCCACCTCTTCCAAAATGATCGACTCGACTTTTTGTTTTGAAGAGCCCTCTTAGCATTCACTGACAGGTTTGTGTAGCGCCTTCCTCCCTTTAATTTCTTGTTTCCATAGTCTCGAATCTTGAGAATGTCTAGAATCAAGTTTGTCAATTGTTTCTTGTTGATTCCTTGCAGACAACGGTTCTTATTCTTGACAAATCTGACAACGGACTCTACTTCCAAGTGTGTGAGTATACAGCAATACGGCTTCTCACACCCAGTTATAATTTTGCCATCAAGTCGATTGTCAATTGTGCTTCTGCTCTTTATCAAATTGAAAAGCCCTGTCTTCAGGGCAGCATGACCCCTTGCATTATTTTCTCTGCACCATTGAACGGCAGCATGTAGCTGGGCCTCCTTTTTCTTAATATTAGAGCGAGCAACTCGTGCTTCAGCACGTGTGTTTGGTCTTCCTTTTGTTGGTGCCATGGCAAGTTACACTTTAATCCTTCACATTTTGGTGAAAAACATTATAGTTAACTGAGCCCCCAATTTCTACAGCATTGATGCATTGAATGCAATATACTTCATGTACGAAGGAGTATAGTTGATTAAGCATATCATTAATCCTAAATTCATCATATCACTTAACTATAAGATTTACCAACAGAAAATCTAGGATGGTTAGGTACATAGAAGTTGATTATCATGCACAGTGTATCAAGCACTTTCCTAAAATGTGTGAAATACGTTGTTTTCCACTTACCCAATTACCTTACCTTGCCAACATCCAATTTTCTTATGCATGTTTTGAGGTACATATAGTGCTAGCTTTGTAGTACAATGAATGTAAATCTTGAGTATACGTTTGCCGTTTTCGCGTACGGTCAATGTGACAAATTAGATGAATGATAAGGGGAAGTATCTTTGGGAGCTAGTAGTAACCATTTTCAAAATATTGGTGAAAATGTCCATGTATGTTTTGAGGTACATATTGGTATAACAGGTCACATTTAAACAGCATTCAGAAGTTCGATTTTTTATCGTATAATATTTTGACATGCTGGGAAGAAAATGCACCTGTTGAGAGTATACAATAATAAAAATTCCAAAAATATTCGTTCCTCAAATTTTATTCAAAACGTAAATTTTGTGTATGTTTTGAGGTACATATACCTGTACCTAGTTTTAAAATTAGTCTATAATGGGAATTGTCCACTGTGCACCGTAACTTATTTCAATACAGAATCGCAAAGCAGAATCGTATAAACAGCAAATTGCATTTGCATGTTGGATTTGATCCCTTGGGCAGCACTTTCCTTGCGATAGTAACTCCTAATATTATTCTAATACTGTAATGTAATTATCGTCACTCGTCTGAACTGTTGGAATCCACGTCGCTGCGTTAATGAATACCTGTCCAATGGCTTATATTCGGAATGGTCTGAGCGTTAGTGAATATCTCTGAGTGAATATGGAGGGCTTACAGTGTACACGGGGAAGCCAGGGGAGCTTATAATCGGAGGTTTATGGTAGTGAGGTTTATATTTGACTTGCACTACCGCTACCCTTTGTTAAGTATAGGTACGCATGTGATTGGTTAATCGGGTAGATTATCCGATTCCCTTAATGGTAGTGGTAGTCAAACCTAAACATTACTAATATCCATGCAGACACAACATACCATGCCCTTTAATGTAGGATCAGCAATTGGTGATCTGTTGCCATGGAAATCCGGATACACGTGATAGGCCTTAGTGAGCAAGGCGTAATGTTCCAGGCCCTGTGCGTTTTCTTCAAGAATACTTTGTATCTCTTCATATACTGTACGCTCACTTCAACAACAAAATGCAAGTCATATATAGTAGCCTGCGTGACAGGCTCATTGAAACAAGAGCCTGCAACAATCTCAGGGAAATTTGATCACCGCCCACTAATTACTATGATAATTTATTCCCATATATATATATATATATATATATATATATATATATATATATATATATATATATATATATATATATATATATATATATATATATATATATATATATATATAATATATAGACGATTATACACAATATTTGTTTATCACTATATCGGTATAGCGGCGGAGCATCATAAAGACGGACATAAATGCAATTTCGTATCCACGGCTTCTGCATTTGTACGGGGTTGACATTAATGCCAACCCGAATGCAAATAACTGTGACCGATACCTGGATACTAATTGTTTTATTAAGTGAGCTGAAAAACTATTGTTTTAAAAACCTTTGTTTTGCTTTTTCTACGAGTTCACTCCAGGCTGGATGCGTTTCAAGAACATGATCAATCTATATAACATGCAACGATATCATCATTTCTACACTGGACGTGTCATTAGTCCAGTTGCTTGAAGGCAACGTGGTGATCCGATCTGATAACACTCCCCCCCCCCCTCTTGTACGTCATCGGGCTGCGTCACTAAGTATAGTGGTCTGGGTTATATGGGATATGCGTGCGTAGATCGAGCGCTCATGCAAGGCATCTGGCATATCTCCTTGGCTATTTTTAATAACACAAACTAGCAGAAGCAAGTCAAGCGTACACAACAGTGTAACGTTACATGCCTGCATAAATCATACTCTATAAACAAGTACTTGATTCAAGACTGAAATGTTGTCTTAATTTAGTACTTCACAAAAATCCGACGTTTTATGCAAATTCTGCAGATCATCTTCATCAAAGGGAGTACAGCATCATACGCTATTTAAATCGAACAGATACTTACAGTATATGTTACTAGAACAAACAGATCAAATAAACTTTGTTTTTTGCATGCAAGTAAGTATTATTATTTATCGATGTAACGTTGTGCCGAAGGATAGTCTAAACTATATGCACTTACTAATTTTCCAGTTGCACTTTGACCACCTTCATTTAACCAGAAGTCTGGGACCATGGCTGAATAGTAAGGACCCCACACTCCAGACACAAACAAAGGTTGCTCACTTATCTATATAGTTTGCGTTGTAAACAGAAATATATGAAACGTGAAATTATTGGTGGAACATTGTTTCATAGTTTCTGAACGGTGGACAAACTACATAGCGCATATCTCTTGGCTTGTAGAAAACACCACGTATAATAAATATACGTAGTGTACGTGTTTTCCATAAGCCAAGAGACATACGCTATGTAGTTCAGTTGTCCACCGTTCAGAAACTATGAACCAATGTTCCACCAATAATTTTTCCTATTCTCCTGACCTTCTTCTAATAGGGGGCTTCTGAGCTGCTGCGGTCATGTCAATTTATGCTAGCGGTATACTGCAAAGAAACTATAACTTGACTGTTGTAGTGTGGTTGAAAATAACATACTGCCATATGACAGCTTGAAGTCCCAGATATTATCGCTAATCTTGACGTAATCGATTCGCACGACAGATCTTCCTTTATGGCCGCACCAATTACCCCTAAAACATCAAGTATAGTGTCCATAGGTAAAAAAATACACAACTTCGCAATGGCGTTCAAAATTAATAGTAGAGCTGTGCGCCGTAGAAGTAGTACCGGAGCCGGAGCTCCGGCATATTTTGCCGGAGCCGAAAAACTCCGGCAGACAAAATTATGAAAACTAAATTGATATTTCAATGAACTTTTGGTAATGGAAAAATTAAGTTGAATGATTTGAAGTTACTATAAAGTTTAATTAGCTACTTGCTCCGATCCGATTCGTGGCTTTGAAAATTCTGCAAGCGCATTGCTATCGCTTTTGATACAAAAATCCGCTGACCCCAATGTATTTTGGGCGAAAATACCACGCTGCCATGCGGTTTTATTTTCTCCAAAACATTGTTTAAACAAGCACCGATGCACGTTTACTTGATAAGTAAAGGATAAAGCTAAAAAAGGAATAAAATAAATTCTGAAATTACACTGAAATACTTTTGCGTGCTTCTACTTTAAATATGAAATTTCCTTAAAATTTCCTTGCTGGAGCAGGAACTGGAGTTTTGACTGCCGGAGCCGGAGCTAAAATAACTGTATAGTTTGCACAGCTCTAACAAGAAGGACTTAATTGTTTTTCGTTGTACAAGGATTCCTTTTTCGTATTAACGCGCGGAAAATAATTCTTTTCATCCCGAGGATTTTTATAGACATATTTTTTCCTAATTTCGAAGAAGGCCATTTGTAAAAGATACGCATTCAAAAACTAGCCTGCGTGCTAGTGCTGTGCGCCGGAGTTGCCGGAGCCGGAGTTCTGCCGGAGCTCCGGCGGTTTTTTTCGACGCCGGAGCCGAATTTTGTATGCCGGAGCCCGGAGCCGGAGTTACGTTTTCCCAGCTCCGGCAAAATGACAAGAAAACAATATGAAATGAGACAAATGTCAAACGATTGTTAGTTACTGCAAACTGCCAATTGCTGTTAATTAATTCATCATAGACTCAAACTGCCACAGCCCACAGGAACAGCGTCGAAAAGCTTTAATACGATCGCAACTTACAAACGTCATGCTTTCATGAAGCCATCTGACTTAGCGCTACATACTGTAGTCTGTGTATTCATGCCTTGTAGATAACGAAAAAGTACAAAACAAATATCAACCTTTTGAAAATGACAGAGTACTTTGTTTGCGTGCGAACAATTGCGCTGTGGAGTCTGAGAGTATTAGCGTCATGCCTCGCGTCATGCCTCGTGTCAAAGATTTTTCGAGGCAGGTTTCCATATAGATATTTTCTGCGTGGTTAAGTGTTTTCACTGTTTTGTTTCCTGAGTTATGTTATCTGATAATTAGAAAGCGCGAAAAGGGTTATTCATAATAATATTAATAAATGTTCTCTGATCGTAAAACATTTATTTAATATTTTATGATGTGGCCGGAGTCGGAGCCGGAGCTCAGAGCTGTAATTCGGCCGGAGCCGGAGATGAAAAACCGGAGTTTGCACAGCACTACTGCGTGCATGCAGTCCGACTTCGTTACCTGAAAGTTAGCACTAAAAAGTTTTTCGTCCGGACTTCGATCGACAGATATCGATGTTTATGTACGTATAATCGTCTTGAAGTTGTTGTGACAACAACCACAACAGGTTATCGAAAAATACTACCTACACAAACTCCCATGCAATTAACAATAGAATAGTACCCAATCCACCAGCGTGAGCATCAATTATAGATGCAGCCACAGGTAAGCCAGTTGGAAGATCAAGATCGTGTGCAGCTTGTTTTGATAAACCATGAGCAAGTTGTGTACCAGGGACACAAACTGATGTGCCACCTTAAAAGGATAATTAGGATTGACGCCCTGATATTTCACCATTTATAAACTTCTCTTTGTTTAAAGTGTTAACAAACCCAAAATGGGTTTTTAGTGATTTGAAGAGAGAGTTCTATATCTCCGTTTTTGATTTAGATTTTTAGTTTTGGAGACATAAAAGCTCAACGTGACTGTAATATGGAACATATTATCATTTCATCTTAAAATAGACCTGCCCACCGGTGCTTTATTGATACAGATATAATTAACAGTTATTCTACGAATTCGAGTCGAATATGAGCTGATAGCCGATGAAGCGCGTACCGCCAAATCGGCTACCGCGCATATTCGACGAGAGTGAGTGGAATAACTGTTTTATTATATACACAAGGTCTGAATTCACAGACTTTGCTTTTCCGTAATTTTCAATATTTTTCTATTTTGTTTATGTTTTTATCTTCGCTCTTTCGGCCGAGTATTTTTCAAAATTATATATTATTAACCATTTTAAATTTTAAAAATTCATTTGCTAACCTGTAAACAATTTGTGGGAGTTTTTTTCATTGTGTTTTTAATCCTATATAAAGGCGAAGAACTTGCCGTTTTCTCGTTCGCAAACGTTGGAAATTCAGTTTGAGCCGCCATTTTGGTTTTCTCTACTAGCAGGATATGAGCTAATACCCTGCTAGTAGAGAACCAATCAGATTGCAGAATACCTCATATCCAGACCTTGTGTATATAATAATTGTTGTTGTTTGTTATGCTACAGTACCATAAATGACGGCATTATGCAAAAGAACTCAGGATCGACAGGATGTCGGTGTTTCTCACTATAATTTCTAATCTTATTGTAGAAGATGGGTTCCCCGGATCCAGGCCTCCAGGTGGCTCAACGTTGATATAAATATTAAGTTGTTAATGAGACTGTTATATTTCTAAATAAAGTACCTATAGTTTTGGGAGCCAAAGCATTTTATTTCTGACATAATTTTAGATACTTCAATATACGAGTCCTCCTTTCGGAGTCATATTGTAAACAATATTTGTTTAAGTTTACTTTGAAATGCTTTTTTGGGCAACTCTCTTAATTTTCTTGGAATCATTCCAAAGTTCTCCATCAACACCTAAACCTAAGCGAGTATTATAAGAGTGAATAGTATCGCTCGAGGTGCTTGTAAACATGTTTAAAATGTTCACTGGTGCTACGTTTCTATTACATATAATAAAAATTAGCAATGGGCCTAGAACAGATCCAACCTCGTACCCATGCAGGGTACGAGGTTGGAACAGATCCTGGGGTACTTCGCTTGCTTTATCTGATATAGGCCTAATATGTCAGCCAAATTTATTTGTGTTCCGCCTGTTCAACCTTGCAAGTTCGGAAATAAGCATATACTTATAATTCCCCAGAAACCATAATAGAAAATTTAATATTATGAATTTAATAGAATTTGCTGATTGACGGTATCAAATATACTGTATAATAATATACTAAAAATATACTATATATTTAATGCCTTTTTTAAATCTATAAAAAACCCACATGAAATTAAATTATGATTCATATTGTTTGTATAGTATTGGCGATATCTGCAAGTATTGCATGTTGAGTTGAATGGAATTCTCGAAAGCCATATTGGGAGGAGCACAATATTTTTATGTTTATCTATATATAATATATTGTTTCATTCTTCGACATTATATGTTAAAATTAGACAGAAGAGAAATAGGTCTGTAGTTATTGGGGTCAGTTTCTTCCTCATTCTTTAATCGGTATTATCTTAGTTTGCTATTTTTATTTCGAGGGGTATCTAGTTCCTGGACTTAGTAAAATTGACTTATGAAAAATCTGCGCAAATATATCAGCAATATTCCAATAATATTGCGCAAAAGCATTTTCGGACTTGTGTGGGACACATATCCTGTGTTAACCTACATGAGTGTATTAACGGTTAAACCCCGGTGCGCGCTTCCGTCAGAACCTTTCACTCTTACTATATATCAGTTAATGTAATGCACTTAACATGACGTACATCTCCCATGTGCTTACCGTCATCATGAATTGAAAATTCCATGAAAAGGCTTGCATTGAGCGTCTAAATTTTACTTCAACAGACTCGCAATAGATGCTGATTATGATAGATAATGACTGTTGGCAAACATTTCGGCTAATCAGCTATATTTCAGATCGTTCAACCCTTACCTAGTCTTTTAAAATTATCGTCTACAAATTCTGATAAACCAATATCACGCCAGAACGATGGTATCCAACCTGAATGACCTAAAACATTGTGCAGACTACAGGTTGAACTTTTACTCTGGAGAAGTAATTATCCCATTGGGACCAGGGCCATGACGGAGAGGAGTGGGACAGGGGGCAGTTTGCCAAGGGCCTCCAGCTCAAAAGGGTCCCCAAAGCAACGAAAGCCCTTTAAATTTCTTGACAAATGATTCCTTAACTGGGAATATAAATCCTAACTGCGTTAGTGCCAGATACTATACAATAAAGTGTAATATAAAGTTAATTAATCACCCCTTCCTCCGTTTAACAATTTTGACGTCATAGTATCCCTCTCCCCCCGCGGGGGAAAGTTTTGCCTCGGGCTTTGACTCGCCGGCCATGAAATTGGGACAACGTGAAAAATGTATTAGTTACCATTGGTCTGCTGTGAGGAATGTCCCATGTAGTTAAATTTGCACACCACTGAACATAAAGATCTACGAAAACACGAATCACGTTAACAACAATTATTTGAACCACTTTTCCGGAATGATTACATGAAGCTCGTTAGAGAGGGTCCAGTTGTTGACCTGTTGAACTGCAGTGCCAGATTAATGTGAAAGGTTTATCATAATCTGTACAGATACAATTATGTTACGATACCAAAATATTCAATTTACCTAGTAACGTATCCAGTGGCTTTGAATGTTAAAAATTCAGGTAGATCAAGGAAGACAGAAATATTGTTCCATCTTTCAATGTCTAAGTTTTTCTTTAACCATAAAATCTTCGGTGCCTGCATTTCAGGAGAAATTGTGCCCCCAACATATTTAAGTACATCATGTCCTGTGGCATTGATTAACTCTGCTTCTTTTACTGCCCTGTGATCAAGCCATAATATTATATTTCTGTTCTCTGCTTGGTCTGGTGTTACTGACACAGGATTACCATTTTCGTCAAGAATAACTAATGAACAAGTAGCATCAAATCCAATACCACGTATGTTGCTTTTATTGATTTTGCTACATGCTTTCTACCTTAGAAGAAAAAATTAAAAACGGTTGCTACAATCAGACCCTCTCACATGAAGCAATTGTTACTGTACATGTAACTTGCAATGTAATTTTAAATACAGATCGCCACGCCATTATAAAACGTAGTCACCAAGATTTTGAGCATAACCTGTTCACCAGTGACTGCAGTGTGTTCACCAGTGACTCCTTCACTTCATTGTGGCTACGCAGTCGCCTTCGCGCGCGTGTTATACCAATGTCTCATTCAGATTTGAAGCCACTCAAAAATATACCATATACCTTATTATTACGTATTACAGTGCGTCCACAGTATAAGTGGGGCCAATAATGCCACTTCTAGAACAATCACATTGCAGAACAAAAATAGAAATCTAATCAAACTAAAGCTCGTCCAATCAAAAGAAAGCATGGAGTTCACTTCAGGAAGCCAGTACTAAAACTGCAGTGTTTACTTTTCAAGTCTATTTTTACCGTTTGACATTTGTTCATAATATGTTGAAATTGTTTTTCGCCTAATGCTGATTGGCTAATGCACAGTTTGTTGATTTTTTCTATTTTTGTTCTGCAATGTGATTGGTTAGTGTTAAGTGGCCCCACTTACTGTAGACACACTGTAATTAGAAACATAAAAAAATATTAAAATATGCAAAATTAATTCATTTCTGCAAAATGTCGCTCTCTCACATCCATATGTTTACATATTTTACTCCCCCCCCCCCATTTCATTTCCCAATATGGCACCTTATATATGTTTTTGTTATTTAATTTGAAGTTGTATCTAGATACCAGCCTCGTACCCAGGCACAAATAACGTACCAAAAATAGCAACACTACAGTGTTTTTATATAGATCAGTGGCTACGATGAGCGAGCGCGCAGGGGTGCTTGAGGAGGACCCCCACGCGTGTGCTCATCTTAGCCATTGATCCATATAAAAACACTGTAGTGTTGCTATTTTTAGTGTGTTATTTGCGCCTGGGTACGAGGCTGTCTAGGTACGGTAAATAAAGCCTTTTAGTTTCTATAGTAGGTTCCTAGCCCTAAAATTTGTAAATAATCAGTTGTTAAATGTTATATGATCGATTGACCTAGACATTTACCTAGTACAATCATAGGCAAATTTACTCGGACAAACATGGCAAATAAATTATTTTTTGAAACATTTTCATATATACTTCGTAAAGTTGGTCCCCCCTCCCCTGAAACAATGTTGATGAACACTTCAGTCATTATGGCAAATATTGAGGTATCTGTAGCAACAACATTGTAACAGGGAGGCGGGGAATACGTATAATTATTTGTGACGGGGAGCAGGGAATACGACTGAATATGCATATAATTATTTGATTGCTTTAAATTTCAGCCATTTTTAATCAGCGTCCGCATGTTATTTGTCTAGGATTGTAGTACTTTAATTGACAATCCTAGCTAAGCCAACTCAGCCAAGTGTTGTTCTGGGCATTATATCCAAGGGTACTAATTTCAGATGCCTATATTTACATCAGGGATATGTGTCATTTCTAGCCGACTTTATCCTATATTGACCCAGTAACCTTTAAATTGTTAGTATAATGATAGTCATATGATACAAAATAGTGAAAATACTACTCAACCAAGTGAAATTTAATCGATACTGTCCAAATTTTTTTTAACAACATAGACAATAATATTGATTAGTATAATTACATAGGTGATTATTGAAAATTCTCCACGCTGATTGGTTACCGTTGAGGTGATTATTACGCGATAATCACCTAAGCGATTTTCAAAATGGCGGCCGAAGCCGTTTTGTCAATTAAAAGACGAAGAAATGTGCATTTTTAAATTTTTTTCCAAATAATCACCCATGAAATTATACTAAAACAATTATTCACCTCAGGCTCGGTGATTATCGTGAATAAAAACCTCGACTTCGTCTCGGTTTTTATTCACCGATAATCACCTCGCCTTCGGCGAATAATTGTTAAATGGACTAAAACCAGTGACATAACCATAGTGAGGGCCATGGTTGATTGGGAATTCGGTTAATAGACTCTTCCAAGGTTAACGACGCCATAAGGGACCGGTCATTATTTATGGAAGGGGGGAGGGGAATTTTTTCTTTTCTAAATTTTTAAAATTGAAAGCCCCCCCTAAAAGAACAGAAATTTAATGATGACCCCCCCTGCATATTGGAATATTTCTCTTTGACCCCCCCCCCTTTTCATTTTTGCTCGTCAAATGGGGATACCCAGGCGTTATAGTGTTAATTATTAAATAAGAATATGGAACTGGCAAGATATTAACGTCGACCAAAAATATATATTAGCAGAAAATTATAAAGAGGAGTATTTTTATATATAACACTAAAATCAGGTTTCCATTTGGTCAGGGCGATTGTAACCTTATGTTTAAGGCTGCAACTAGACTTGATGGTACAAAGTATTGCCATAGCAACTGCGCAGCAACAATGAGAGCAACAATCAGTAATATTAGCAGCAAAAGGAGATAGCAATGACAATTCTGCCAAGGCATACCTGCGAAATACAATGTATAGTGGTCTATACATCCTATTTTATGTGAGATTAAAAATTATATAAAATAAAACGACATATACTAGCTACCAGATAAAATCCTTTAGAATGAACTTGGGTGGGGAAAAGGTATCAAAGCGCAAAACTTGCTGCAGCTATAGGCAAAGCATACAATGGCAGAATGAATACCCAGACCAAAGCACTGATCACAAGGCATGAAATTAACAACCCCCTTTGATCGATATGACGTCACAGACTCGCCTCAGTGGATGTGGCCTGCATAATACATTATGTATTTATATGTTAAATGTATTTAACCACATCAAGAGCTGATGTAATAATACATTGTCAATTTAACTAGGTTGCAAACCGTAAATCTGATTGGCATACAGCACACACAAGACAAGATGAATCCAGACTATTTCACATCAGTGACCATGATTTAGTTGCAACATTTACAACCAAATGGATACCAGGTTATTAAGCAAATTCCTTCAAATTTAATTGCAACCCCCCCCCCCCATCATTTTCTTGAAAAAATTTAATAGCCCCTCCTTCTTGTCATTTATATCTACATTGCCCTTTATTTTTCCCTCCCCCTTCCATAAATAATGACCGGTCCCTAATGAAACACAATACTGCAAGGGATGCAAACACAATTATGGTGAAAACAATATATTCAAGACGGCATCCTTAACCTTGGAAGCTCATGTTGACACTACTCATAACACCTCATGAATACCCTAGGGCAGTTAGCCCATGAGTATGCCTTTAATAATCCCTCCTATCCTGCCTGCCCGATCATTGTGAAAAAAAAGGCCACTGCAGATCAGAACTTCATGACGTCACTCAATATGGAAAGAATCCAGCCTCGTACCCAGGCGTAAATAATTAAAAATAGGCACACTACAGTGTTTTTATATAGATACTAGATCACTAAGATCAGTGACTAAGCTGAGAGAGAACTGTATAAAAACACTATACTAGTGTAGTATGCCTATTTTTAGTTATTTGCGCCTGGGTCATGGACGATCATTGCAGTAGCCGGATGGGTACGAGGCTGGAAGGAATCAAGATAATTTGCAACATGCATACTGTAGTACTGTACCCTGACTGCAGTACATAAACAGCTCCAAATATCTTCAGATGATTGTTCATACATATTGCTTGATGATTGCCAAATGCGTATTTCTTCTGAAGCAAAAGAATGAATTCTTCCATTTCTATCAACGACTGCAGTGCGTACACTGCTCGTTCCAACATCAACAGCAATATAGTATTCATCACTGTTCGTGGCCATCTTTGAAAATGTGGGGTGGGATAAAACGCTGATACGGACGACCGGATGGCGACGAACGGACGGCGTAACAAAGAAGGACGGATATTCTCTCAAAATGTCATTATCCAAAAGTATAAAACGCGGATATGGTCCAAAAAACGTTTCTCATGCCATACTCATGTCCACGTTATGAAAGGAATGTAAGAGCTCTTGCGAAGGAATTTCCGAATTAATTTTGCACCTTAAATCGCGTGGTTGAGAGTTGATAAGAGTTGGCAGTCGCGCATTGTTACAGGGGACATTTCAAGCTCTAGATCAACAAGATACATAGGTTTTATGAGTGTTCCTTTTATGAGTGTTTCTTTAACTCAAATAAAATACATGATAGTGTTGGGACAAATTAAGTTGAAGGGTTTTGTAGATGGAAATTATCGAGTGTAAATTTATATATATTTATTATATCTAAGATAAGATAAGATAAGATAAGATAACTTTATTTTAGCAGGGTGGCCCATTCAGCACTAAGCTGGTATCCATAGGGGCCCTGCGTATATAAATATATCTATTTACACAATAAGAAAATATAATAAACTAAATTAGTAATAGTACATATATAAAATGTAAGTATATAATACAATGTATAATTATAAAACTTAATTGTACAATGAGTATTAATTAATAAAAACTGTGTCTTTGTATAAGAGACTTGAAATTAGACAAGGTCCCTGCCTTTTTAATTCGATTTGGAAGATTGTTATAAAGTAGTGATCCCAAGTATATAAAAGATCTCTTGCCCAGACTAAGATTTGGTTTAGGTAAGTGCAAATCATCTTTCCTTCTAGTATTATAAGAATGAATATTTGAATTCTTTACAAAATATCCACTTAAATATTTTGGGACAAAATTGTTCAAACATTTAAATACTAAAACACAATTGTGAATTTGTCTACGAGTAGATAAATCTACTCAATTTAAAATGTCAAACGTATTTCTGGAGCTTTCTCGTTGTAATATTATTCGTGCTGCACGGTTGGTTTTGCAGTTTTTGGAGGCTTTGAGAACACCCAGCAGGCAGCTCGGACCATACAGCATCAGTGTAAGTGTAGTCAAAAATAGGTGGAACCACGGTTAATAGAAGGAGGAAACCGTGGTGGAACTATACAACCAAAGAAATACCGTGTTACCACTATTCATAGGGGCTTGGGGCCTAATTATGCTAATATATTTGCAAGAGGATTGCGGGCTCTGGTTTCGAGATTGATATATTTGGTGACTGCGCAGAAGCATGGTAGTCAGCGTTAGCAGGCGTTCAGTAAAGGGCGTCGTTTGAGGACGCCCTTTCTTCTCCCGCCCGCACTAAACGCCTGCTACGCAGGCTACACGGCAAAAAACGCCGAGGCGCCGAGCCCGTTGCTCAACAGGACTGAACAATGTTTTGCTGCCCACGTTGTTCACACTTGTCAACAATATTGAACAATATTGTTGAGCCTGAATCGGGTGTAACAATATTGTTCAATAGTGTTGACAGCTATGCAGTGGCGTGCTGGCAGGGGGGGATGGGGGCGGGGGGCCACGGCCCCCCCAGCTGGCAATTCTTGGGGGGGGGGGCGCAAAAATGAAAATGGGGCGCCGAATTTTGAAAGTGGGTGGGAAAAAACGCATTCTCGAAAAAATATGGTTACTTCCGCCAAGAAAAGACATGTTTATAGGCTACAGTATAAAACAGACTAAGCGCATAGGCGACATATATTAAATTACAGACTATTTTGCCTAACCGTATTTGCTACCTCACAGCTCACACGAAATCGTTCATATAGAAACATGATCAGTGATCACAGGCAATGTCTCATTACCGGAATATTGGTCAGGTTTCGATCGAAGCGATCACGGGAATTATGCCCTTTTTTGCTGGTATTATGCCCTTATATTATGCCCTTTATTATGCTTCACGAATCACGAGAGCGGCGCAAATTAGATAGTTGAAGTTATGATAACTGATGTAAAGTTGTGTACGCAATTTAGTTGTTTGCACAAGAAGCATGAGTAATGTAAGCAATGAAATAATGCTGAAACATGCCCTTTTGGCAGCCAGGCAAGGAAACCTTAAAATACATATGCGTGGGGTGCTTGTGTTATTGTATAAAAGAGCTTTAAGTTGTAAATGTACTCAGAACAGTAGATCAGTAGAGAACAGAATTGGGATTAGATTAATCGCTGGAAGTAGTTAGCATTGCATAATTTAAGTACTACTACTAAATTCTAACCAAATTGCAAATTTCGACACGTTATAATGCCGTTTCCTGACCATCAGATTTCTGTCAAATCTCCCCCCAAAGTCCAGGAAATGGCATTTCAGAGACTCTAAATTCAAAAATTTTCCTGTGGGGCATGCCCCCGGACTCCCCTGGACAAATCTCGCACCTGCGGCACTCGGCTCGTGCCTTCGGCCCTCGTTTATCAAGTGTAACATTATAGGGGCGCATATTGGTTGACAGCCCACTGGCCCCTCCAGAAAAATAGTACCCAGCACGCCACTGCAGCTATGAACAATGTGGGCAGCAAAACATTGTTCAATCCTGTTTTCATCAGTATTGCATCAACCTGTGCGTTTTTACGCGTGTAGAACACTGAGGTGTAGAAGCATGGCGAGAAGCAGGCGCAGGTCAGCGGACTATGTAAAGAGGGGAACTTAGTTTAAAGTTTGTTATTAGTTTACTTTGAAATTCACTGTATTTTGGTTATAAGAGTGAAATAAAGAGATAATGCATCAGGTTAAATTGAAGTCGAGTATCTCGAAATACTGATCTATTAAATGGCTGACAACTTCGATTACAATGTTCTGGAGAAGGTACTGACAATTATTCAAAAAACAATTATTTAATTACTGTAAGGGATATGAGATATCTAGAAGCACTTTTCAATACCGGTACGTACGGCGGTATCATTGTTCGATTCAATGAAAAAATATCTCCTAATTCCTAAGGGAGTGGTCATTATTTATGGGGAGGGGGGGTTGGGAAATGGGGAAAATAAGGATTGAAAACTTTTTTGACCCCCCCTCCAGACTGAAGGCAAACTTTTTGTGCCTCCCCCCTCATAAAAGTAGAAACTTTTCTGACCCCCCCCCCCAGTGTGGATTGAAAAATTAACAGCAATGAAACAGGTGTGCGTTGCAGGTAAAGTTAGATATTAGGACAATCTGTTTAATCTAGCTCATGATGTTTTACCCTGGTGAATATGATTCAACCATATATGATTAAAAAATATATATTATGTGTTACTACTTTGCAATGCAACATTTGTCCTACCATAACCCTAACCCATGACCTGTCTTCATACAGTGAAATGATTTGAACACAGGTTTTTTTTAAGAACTTGTCTGGGGGGTGGGCATCTACAAAAAGGGACCATACTATATTGAGTGTGGAGAGATGACAGATGGTTGTTGGTGACAAAAAGTTTGGTGTGGTATCGTATGTAGTAGTAGGGGGATCTGGGGGTATTCTCCCCCAGAAATTTTTTTTTATTTTTCCACCCCTAGAATTGAAATGTGAGCATTTTCCTCTGAGCATTTTCTGAAACAGATTTTTGGATATACGGCGTTACACTGTGCGTTGATAGACCGAATCTGATCAGTTCAGTGTACTTGCATGGTATGTTTATGTAAATACCACAACTGGGTCACTCAGGAGGTAGAAAGCTTGTTAAACTTAGTGGGCTCAACGGTCACTCGGCGCCACCATGGTTGGCGCCGAGCAGGGAAACTTTGAATATTTTGAGTCTCTAGATTGTTGGAAATAGCATTTTCAGAGTCTTCTTTTTTGCTATTTGTGATTATAGAAATCAAAAACTTTTATGACCCCCCCTCCCTTTCTCTGTGTTAAAACTTTTTTGACCCCCCTATTTATAAGGGTAAAACTTCGTTTGCCCCCCCATTTCCCAACCCTCCCCATAAATAATGACCACTCCCTAACGTCAATATCAGCGATTCATTGCCTGTGGAATTCAAGCGAGATCGTATAGTTTAATAGTTATCATACTCAATTTTCTCGATACAATGTAAATTAGCCATACGTTTCATCGACCATGGCTTTGACCCCTTAAATAATTTCTTCTTTGCAGTAATCTTGTTTGATTCACCTTTCAAAACAGGGGTATTGGCTAAACTTCGAAGTTATTGCTTTAGATTTTCATCTTTCGCCCCCATATTTTAGTTTGTAACTTTGTATTGTCAAGAATTCCTTTATAGATAATCGATAAAAATTCCTATGATGAAGTAAAATTTCCTGGTAATATATGGCCATATATAGATCCAGGAACCACGGAGCAGGGGGAGGGGGCACCCCCATTTCTTCGGTGGATAAAAAATTACTGGATAAGATCCAGTCTGCGCAACTGCATGTGTTGCATAGCTCCCGTGCTATCCTACCCTGGCCCAGAGGTTTTTAAACAATACCCTCTGGCTCCCAGGGTAGTTCTATCCTGGCCCCCAAACTGAGATCTTGAGAATTACAAAGTTAGCTTCCCTGAAGTTTTGTCTCATTTGGGAATTGGGATTTTGGGCAGCATCGTTGTTGATCAAATATTCACAATGTTGGTCAAATATTAAGGTCAAGGAATACAAGGATAGCAGACCCTCTGGTATAGGCATATGCGGTAGAATGGAGTGGGGGCAAAAATAAAAAATGGATAAAATTTGGCAAATTTAGAGGAAAAATCCAGGAAAAGATGAAAGAAAAAAATGTATTAAAGATGTACAGTTGGAAATATGTTGGGTCCGGAAAATTTTTCCCTCCCTCACTCTCACCCCCCCCCCCTCCCCCCTTGCACCAACAATTCCAGGAAAGCATTTTAATTAATGTCGAACATTTTATGGGAGATAGCTGCTCCAAAATAAACAACTTGCTTTACGCTATTGTTGCATTATATGTTAGACTGTGTAGTGTGTAAATCAAAATTGTGACTGGTGATTATTTATGGAAGGGGAGGGCAAAAATAGGGGGGGGGGCATATGTATAGATAAATGACTAGCTAGAATGGGGGGTTATTAAATGTTTTCAAGAAAATAAGAGGGGAGGGGTTGCAAATAAATTTTAAGGAATTTGCTTAATTAATTAATAAGCCTGGTATCCAGTTGGTTGTAAATGTTGCAACTAAATTCTAATATTCTGCTAATATATGTTTTTGGTTGACATTAAAAACTTATCAGTTCCATATTCTTTAATAATTAACACTATAACGCCTTGGTATCCCCATTTGACAAGTAAAAATGAAAAGGGGGGGGGGGTCAAAGAAAAATATTCTAATATACAGGGGGGTTCATTATTAAATTTCTGCTCTTTTAAGGGGGGGGGCTTTCAATTTTAAAAATTTAGGAAAGAAAAAATTCCCCTCCCCCTCATCCATAAATAATGATCAGTCCCTAAAATCTCCAAGGATGTATAGTGTTGAAAACGTCCGATCTGATGTCGCTACGTCTCCTAAGAAAATCACTATCACAGATATAGTTTAAATCTTTAATCAAATAAATGTAGAAATCGCCAGTTAAAATCACAGTCGTTAATACACTCGTCGCAAGTGTCAATTTCAGGTGTTCACTTAGAAAACTATATTATGTATTACATGAAGTTTCAACAGTTGTGTCTATCAAATATTCGTCAAGATCACAAAGTTCTTCAGCTGAACAATCTGGAGACTTGTCATAGGCATACGTGGGGGGGGGGAGGGGGGCTGGTGGGCAAATAAATAGGAGAAATTCTCTCAATATTGGGACAAATATGCTATATGGAAGAAAAATATAAACGTTGTTCCGCAGAACTCGAAAATTTCAAACGATCTGGACTCTGATTAAATAACTGAAATATTAGTGTTGTACTTTCCGCCCACAAGAATTGCACACACGATCTGATAAGTGAGACAATTTATTTATAACAATCGCAATCGAAGCACAAATTAATGCTAATATAGTCGCACGACGTCCCTCACGATTTGGAGTTTGAGACAGGTTTTTTGTTGAAATTCGTCCTGATTTTCCTGTTCCGAATTTAAAGATAGGTTACAGTCCCTTCGGCGCATGTGCGGGCTTTGTTTACGTTTTTTGTTTTGAATTTTGATCCACATTAATTATATAAGATGAAGTATATGATGAGTTCATACGCGCGGAAATTGTTACCATTTTTGAGGCGAAATTGGTAACAATTTCCGCACGTAATACAAATATACTGAAAATATGCAAACTTCGAAAGGCTATATTTTCTGTATTTTACAACATTTCGCAACCAAATTTTGCAATTTTACTAATTTCATTATATATGTTCTTTTTAGCTGTGCCTGTGGTGTTTAATTACCTTCTCTTTACTTAGATTAAAATTTAGTCTATGACATGCAAGTTGTCCATTAATGCTCGTAAATTTCTTCTATTTAAGACAAGTGGCCGAAATGGTAGATGTTCTCGTAGCACTATATTGGTGTTCGTATTGTCGGTTACCGTGATTGCGCTAGTAGTTGTCATTGCCGTAACTTATGGCAAGGATTTGCAATGTGATGATAAGTACCATAAAAATCATGCCCATAATCGAAGCAAAAATTCATCTAAAATACACAACTCTACGACTGGAAACAAAAATTCATCAACAATACACAACTCTACGGCGTCAAGTAACTCGATGTCCTTTTTCCTGTTCTCTGATGTCCACCTGGATCCATATTACAAAGCCATGGCGGGAAACGATTTCTGTAGAAACGAGAGCAAGCCTAGCACTTATAATGCGTCATATGGAAGAACTGGTTGTGACAGTCCATTGAGATTACTGCTTGAAGGACTGGATGCTATGAAGGAACATGCACATAACTTGCCGAATCTGGACTTTGTTATGTTATCAGGTAAGGGATTTTCCGAATATGAGACTAATAGGAGAAATATATGTCATTCTGTCGGCAAAACTTCGAAGTATCCTAGAATTTGATGATAATAGTAATAAATATATCAACTGACTTAAATTTAAGATATTCTGGTGAATCGAATGAATTTAATTAAGAGTGCTGGTGCGTCGTGAATGTATTATTTATACCTGTAACCACTTATAAATCATAAGTATATATTCTCTAGTTATAATCACTCTCCGTATTTTCAGTTCTAAAAGGTTGTATTTCGCGATCGGCTGATGAGAAAGATCGTGACTCAATCTTTACGACCTTATGACTTATGACCATATGGAAACCAGGCTTAACAACATATCAAAGTCACTGTGGAGTGTGGTATAGTCAAGATTCTGGCTATTTGCACTTGACATAATAACAACTGTAGTACAGTACACTGTACAGTGCCAAGTAACATTGTCTTTTTATTGTTTTACAAATCCCACTGTTTCCATGCCAGCATGCCTTCCAGTCATCCACAAGATTTTGAATACAGTAGAACCCCGCTAACTCGAACTCCCAAGGGGAACGAAAAATTGTTCGAGTTAGCGGGGGTTCGAGTTAACCGGAGTTGGTGTCAGATTTTGTTTATTATGTTAATAATTAATAAGGTATAAAAGTTTTATTATACTGCTCATCAAAATTGCAAAAAGTTTAATTGTGCATCCCTATAACTAAAGTTCTTTAGTCAGTATCTTTTTAACTTGGGTGATGGAGAAGGCATGCAAGTTCCATGCAAACTAAAGTTCTTAGCAAAAATATGTAGAGATTTTACAAAAGGAACTAAAAAACTAGATCAATAACAATCGTCGCAACTATGTGTATAATCTTTTAAAATTTATGATCATTTATACACCGAATAAATTGTCGTCATTTGAATAAAAATCCAAGTTACCGGTTGTCAAAATGCTATGTTCTGACATTTTAAGGTTTGCCGATCCACGACTCAAAAACAAAGTTCGAGTTAACGGGATAAATTTGACCAAGGGAAAACAAAATTTGTTCGAATTAGCGAGGAGTTCGAGTTAAACGAGTTCGAGTTAAGCGGAGTAAATTACTATAAAAAACAGTGTCAAATCCAAGGGGAATTGGATTTAGTTCCAGTTAGCGAGGAGTTCGAGTTAAGCGAGTTCGAGTTAGCGGGGGACTACTGTATTTTAGCATTCTGCAACAAGCCTTTTTGTAATTTAATATTTCTAGGTGACACATGCGCTCATCGGATAAAAACGGACAGGAAAAATGTAGTGCTTGAAATTATGAATACGACTTCAAAAGCAGTCAAGTTGAGATTTCCTGACATTCCATATTTTCCCAGTATTGGTAATAATGATATTCCTGGTCATTATGTAATGCCTGCTGAGAATGATACATGGTATTCTGATTTGCTGAATATCTGGCAAGATGCCATACTGTGTAAACACTGTAATATGAGTTATCAGACAACAACTGAAGCTGAACTGCGCAAAACGTTTTTATATGGAGGGTATTACAGTGTGTCGATTGCAGGTTTGTAAATTAACTTCTTCCGTTTGAAAATATAATATATATTGATATACTTACGCATCAACTTAGTAGTCCATCCTGATGTGAGATTACCTGGATATTTGTGGTCATGTGGTTTGGTAACAATGCTCAAATGCAGGGAAATCGCAAATTCATATTCGAAAGTTCCAACTACATTTGAAAGTTCCATCTACTTGCATCATTATATAACCATCCTTCATGCTTTGGCAGCTGTCGCATGTCCTAATTGTCCTTGATTCAATGAACACTAGCGCATTTTGTCTGTTTGTATGTTAGTATCTTACAAAATTCCCAGTATTTTTGGCCTTTGGGTGCGTACGCATATTGAAAGTACTAGTAATTATGCTATAGAAGCCCGCATGTTAGTCTTAAGCAGAACGGGTTTGTGAGTTATTATAGCTTGCGAAAACAGCCACCCGATTGTCCGGTTCCTCGATATAGTACTAAGCGCATCTCACTTCTCTCATCAGAGGAGCAAACATTTCAGGAGACTGCTAGTCCTCTTTACCAAAATGCACTACGTCACAGTAATTTCAATCACAAACTAGGCTACATGAAGGAAACACCACAACAAGCACGACGCAGAAATAGTCAACGCAGTATCATTTGGTTTAATTCTAGCTCCTTTCAGTAAAAACACAGAGTAGAGACATACAGAGCCGTAACTGACCGTCGTGACACTGCGGAAGCTTACGTTTTCATGTACCCAGTCAGGCGACCGGGCAAAAAATGATCAACTGCGCGTGCTCAGCAAGTTTAAATTCAGTCGTCATCAGGTCGTCATCCTATCAGATGCATGCATCTAGTAACTTGCCGAGCATGCGCACAAAATAGTGGGTACACTAGTATGGTTGCATGAACAATGTGAAGTCCATCATTACCCGACACAATGCACAATCAATCAGGAAAAACCTGCCACAGAGCTATGTTCCGCATGAAGGAACGCATGCCCACTCCAGAAAAATGCAAGACTAAGGACATAGTATATAGGGCAGCTGTCGCAACAAGCAACACAAACAGCATAAAGCACTATACATCGGCATGACATGAACCACCTTTAAAGAGCGATACCGGAACCACAATAGGTCTTTCAATGACAAAATCGAAATATATTTGGAAATTAAAATTCCCAGCAAGCCTTTCGCGCTCGTATTCCACTTTTCCGCTTTGCTCGGGGACAACCTTAATTGAAATAGCTGTATACCGAGAAAAAGCGCTCTCAGTCTTCCCTTTACCATTATTTTCCTAAAGATCACTTCTGCATGTGGAAAGTCAACCTTTGCCCGTTTCAACGTTATTGTGGAATTGCAACAAAGCCACAGATTAATCAACTCAACACGTTATATCACATTACACGTATAACGTGAAATGTGAATTCAGTTTTGCTCTATATTTCTATTCGGAAACCATACCGCGCTTCACTTGCACTATTATAATATTTGATAGCAACGCAAATTGTCAGAAAATAGAAACCTTAGTCGAAGGGTACTAGCAAAAAAATTATTCATATTTCTCGCCTCTCATGTCTTTTCAGGTGGTAACATGACATTACTTGTACTGAACTCGATGTACTGGACTTCGAGCACCTGGAGACCGGATGACTATTTCCAAGAAAGAGCAGAGAAACAAATAAAGTGGATAGAGGAGCAGTTGCAACTGGCAAAGTCAACGAACAAGAAAGTTATTTTAACCAGCCATATTCCCCCTGGGTAAGAGCTGGCCTGAGGAATGTCAATGACCAATCGCTATAGCCAAAGTGTTGTCTGGAAGCATGGTGTTATATATGATCGTAGTTTGAATAAATAGAAGCTATCTTTCACATGAATATTTCCAGCTTATTAGCCGATGAGGCAATACCTCAAGTATACAAGGACCTGCCCACAGAGAGCCCGACTATGGCCTATTATATCAATACAATATCCACATAATATCTGCAGTAATAATATATCACAATACAATACAATACAACGCGACACGACACGACACAACACAACACAACACGACACGACACGACACATGTACAACACAATAAACTTTATTTAGCGATGGTAACACCAATTACAAAACGTATTCTCCCTAGTGGCAATATCCACAGTATGAAAGCGGTCAATGCAAGTAACACACAAAAACCCACCTCGTTCCCAGGCTCTTCCCTCATGTGGAGGAAAGAGGCTGGAAGCGAGGTTTGGGGAAAACAATCTCCACACAGTTATATCAAAGCGTCAGAGAGAAAACACGCGAGGTAGAAACCTGAAGAGTTAAAATGTCGGCTAAAAGGACTATTAAAAAGACTCTAGAGCATAAAACTCTTAACTAATTTTTTAACTACCCATTTCGTAATTAATTATAGTTATCTGCAAAATGCACGATTCTGATTGGCTAACGTTGCCACTAAATATAGTTAACTTTAAGTACTTTCTATTTAACCGTCCCCAGTATTGTAGCATGCGAACATACGTGTTCTTCTTGTTTGTTATTCCTTAGTATTGATGCATATGCAGGGAAGATATTGTGGTTAAGCAACTTCACGGATCTATACATGGATCTTGTTACAAACAAGTTTAGTGAAGTTGTTGCAGGTTTGTATATTAAATGTATGTGATTTGTGTAAACAAGCTTGGTTAACTCGCTCTCTTGGTTCCTTCCAGTAGGACGTTTGTGGGTTTTGGTCTACTCACTCAGCTAAATATCAACCAACGTATTTTGCTTGGATAAACGGTAGACCATGTGAGATGACCAAAGATAAGAGTAGCACACAACCCTACCTTAGGGTACTGTACTGTAACTATAGATCGGCTTGTATCTCCAACATACTTACATTTATATTTGATAATTTCCAGGTCAAATCTATGCCCATTTCCACAAGGACAGCTTCCGTTTCCTTCAAGCGAACAAGAAAGACCTTTCATATAAAAATTCTTCCTACATTTTACTGATGCCGTCTTTGTCTCCTGTGTATCGAAATAATCCTAATTTCCGAGTTGTTCACCTCGATCCAGGCCTCCGGGCAATCAAGGACTACGAGCAGTGGTACATGAATCTTGTTATGGCAACAGGTTAGATTTCAGCACAGAATTTGTATGGTACCATAACATAAATGTATGGCTTTTTTATATGTATAATATTTTGGGGTGCACTTGATATCATATTCGGCCGGATAGTGAGATAATCAATTTCCAATATCCGGCCGAATATATGTACAATATCCGGCCGGATATTCCAGGCCTTCATTTCAGGTTAGAAATGATATGATATGGTATAAAAATTATTAGTATTTATCTATATGTTTACCTAAAATGATCGTAGCGAAGCTGGCAATAGTTTCAAAATTTTTTATGCTCGCTTGCAAATGCGAAAAAGAGGGTTTAGAATTCGAACTTTTTGAAAAACGGTTCTCCAAGTTGGGATATTCCGAACACCATCACTTTATAACCAACGTTGAAAGATCAAGCGTGAACCTTATGTAACTAATATCCGATATCCGGCCGGATATTTTTCAACTATCCGGCATCTCTGGTATCCGACTGGATAGTAAAATCCTCTACCAGTGCATCCCTAATAATATTTCGGCCATTCTTGGAATAAATCTAGAAAAAATCTCATCAAACGTTGACTTTATCGCAGTTGTCGGAATTAGATGAACTCCGCTGACTTATTTTACTGTTAAAATTCACCTAGTTGACTGCGAAAATATTAGTTGTATAGCTATTTTTTACTAAAAAATGTACAAAAATCATATTTTGAATTAGCGGCACTTTAATATGTGACAAGAGCTACTTTCGCGGTGACATAATTATTTGATTGTCAGATATATGGTGTAATCTTTCATCTGTCGGTTATTTCGCTGCATGTAGTTGTTGTACTAGTACGACGTTCTATTTCATTGTCATATTAATATACATCTGGTATTATATCTTAGCATACCTCAAAAACTTTATTCTCACTGGGAGTTTTCTCTCACAATACCATATACTTTGAATATTTATGCATGAGATGATCAGTTAGTCATCCATATACACCACGTGATTGTCAGACAGTATAAAAGTAGCACAGAATCGGTATCTTTTGAGCATTTGCGGATTTGCCACCGAAAAGGAAGGACGGCGCTGAAATTTTTTGGTCATCCAAGTCACACGTGTCGCAGCCGAGCCCGGCCTTGGGAATTTAACGAAATGCCTTGCTTACATAGAAGCACGATAACGCTCACCATAGAATTTGACTTGTCCTGGTATGTCGAGCATGCATAGATATCTTATATACACTAGATAGTGCATCTAATTATTCTACAATTCAAAAATTGAAGCCGTGATTGCAGACTCAGAATATTCCCATGAAATGAGAAGATTCGTATGTTTTCTATTTCTTAAACACGAAACTTAAATATTGAAGTAAACCTATTCCAAATACATTTTTAAACTATTCAAATGATGAAAGGTATTGTTGTTTTTAAGCTTTTATTAGCGAGTGGGAAACTTCAACATGGCCGCCATCTATTCAAATGGGGGTAACCGCTGGAATGTTCTTGGCTTCAATTTTACTAAAAGAGATGCGCTATCTAGTCTATATAAGATATCTATGCGAGCATGATGTGAATTAATCGTCCTCCTCAACCGGCTCTACTTGGAATCAGGTATCGGTTTGTTGTCTACCGAATTTAAGTGGGTCGTTCCCGCGAGTTTCGAGCCTATTAAGTTTTCTTTGGTATCACGGACAATTTGTTACAACGGCATTTATATTACACATCGCCTTGCGACCACCGCAAATTTTGCAAGCAGATAAGGCTCTATAATAGTCTAATTGTTAACGTTCAACCTGTATTTTTCCGCATCTGCATGCATGTGTTCGTATTTTCCACACATTTTCTTAGGTACAAGTTTTTAAATCATACCTGTTGTCAGTATTACTTGTCGAGTTTCACTAGCACTTAGTGTATATTGCTCGTTCGTTTCCATTTAAACGGATCCGTATATATATTAATACGGCATTTTATCGAGTTCAAATGCACCAAAGCCTAACGTTGTCCATGGCATATATTTTGTTCTCTCGCGGGGTTTCAGTGTTTCCTCAATTGTGCGGTCTGGCGAGGTGGGTATACACTAATCAAAGCCCGGCTACACATGTCTACGACGTGTTCTTGCAGATGCGTTCTGGAAACGTGTACTCCGGCGTGTGACTGGGTATATGCGTTTAAATGTATTAGCTTAAGCTTTTGGGTCCATATTATAGTACGCGTGTTGTTTATTCTCATGCGTTCATAGTTGTTTTGGATGCCACGTAGTGCGTTAGTAATCTGCTTTTGCTCACACTCCTCCAAAGACCAAGTGTACTTGGCCTACAATGTGCATGCTTTGTTTTCCTTTTGCCGACCTGTGTTCTATTTTCCTCTCGGCTGTGCATGTTATGTCCTCTATCTCGTGGTTTTGGTAGTTATTTTGCTTTATTTTCTTACTGTTACAATTCGTTTGGAGTCTTTCTGTATGCATATAGTCGTTTTTTCATGGTCATTAGGTTTGTTCGTTCATGCATGCATGTTTTGTTTGCCTCTATATTTATACTGCCAGGGTACATCTTTAAGGTTTTCAACATTCCCGAATATTTTAACTGGCGTATTTTAACTCGTTCTTCGTTTTTGCAACGACGCCGTTATATCACGGCCACTTTTCGAGTTTTTTTAACCCTCGTTCCAGTGGTTTTTTGGCTGGTAATCTTTTCCAGATTCCGCCTCATTATTTGTCAACTCGGTTGATTAATAGCGTTTTCCCTAATGTGCGGTCTTGCGAGGTGGGTACACTAATCAAAACCCTACACATGTCTACGACGTGTTCTCGTGTTCAGGCGCGTGCTGGAGACGTATAATTGTCCAGAGTTTGACTGCTTTCGTACGCTTATAGGTTATCAGCGTTTTACCTTTGACTCCGTCGCCATGCCGCCTGAACAATGGTTTGTGGAAGGCAAATATTATACATTTGCATGCACTACCGTTTTTGGCCGCGACACCCGCAGCCTTTGCTTTGGGCCCATGTGACGCGACCCTCGCTTTTGGTGAAGCACGATTTTATAACTTTAGGTCGGTATTTTGGGTGAAGCATCCATATATCCATTATACATTTCATTCTGTCTTTGGACTATTGCCTTTAACTATATTGCTTTCGGTGAAGCAACGCTGCGCCACAGTATTATTGGCATGCTTTTGGTGAAGCAAATTCGTTGGGATTTTTGCTTTTGGTGAAGCAAGTGACTTTAATTTGTTGCTTTTGGTGAAGCAAATACTGACATTAATTTTAGCTATTCGGCTTTTGGTGAAGCCTATGCATGCACTTCTGTATTTTGTTTTGTAGTCGCACGCGTCTGTTTGAGCTATTGTTTTTGGTGAGGCACATGCATTCAATCTATTGCTTTTGGTGAAACAATTTGAAGTTTCGCTTTGGGTGAAGCAAATCCTTTAGTTTCGCACTATTATTTTTGGTGAGGCGAATAAATTTTTGACCTATATTTGGCCTATACGCTGTTTTGGGTTCGGCATTTTGTTTGATTTTTTGTTTGCGTAGGCCCATGCATTGAGCATGCTTTCGTTAACATTAAATTGTCTTTGATGCCCTTCGCTGTTCGTTCTAAGGTGACACTTATTTTTTTGGTATTATTGTTGTGTTTGTCAAGCTCTACCCGTTATTAGAAACCTTTAGCTAGCAAGACGGCGACGGCCTTTAATCCCCGAGCCGACGGCGCGAAGCGCCTTGCGAGGGTACTAATTGCCCCCGGCTATTTACACCCGGGAAAACGAAAGCATTAGCGAAGTCTAAAGTTCATCAATTATCGCGGGCGTGGGTGACCCTGCCTCCTCCGCAGGCCCTTACTATTTGTAGATCAGTGTATATATAGACATATCAGTTTAATATATAGATCAGTGGCTGAACAAATCTGTTGTGATGCATGCTGGGACCAACGATGTTGGGTGGGTGGTCATCCTCACTGATCTCAAAAATATAGCGGACTGTCATGAATAGCGGACACTGATTGGTCCAATTTAAAGTTTGCATTATAACGACTGCATGACGACAGCGAAATAGCAAACATTTCTTGATTTGATGATTGATAAATTTCTTACAAATATATTTCATTTTTGCTCGCATTTTTGCAAGATTTTGTAAATTTCAAAAGCTTTCTCATAAAGAAAGGACGAAAGAATCGGCTAAAAGAAGGGAGCCGACGTTAACGAAGGTAAGTTTGTTTTAAATATTGATTTTATAATGGTTTAAAACCCGACGGCCTTTGCGTATATGAAACAACTAAACAAGACAGCATATAATTTCAGTGTATCTTTAATATTGATTCCCTTTTTTATTATATTGAATTTTTTAAATAAAAAAGAAAGCAAAGTTATTTGCATGCGAGAATTTGAAATAATTTTATTCGGCAAACTCAAAGTTTATCGATAAAGCCATTTAATTAAAGGTAGGTTACTAGGTTACAGTCGCATCTGCGCATGTGCTGGACTTTTGTTTATGTGGGGACACAGCAAGTTGTCATCCTCTGTTTGTGCTCGGTCCAGTCTCATTTCTGGCAATAACACGCGCGTTGTTTTTATAGCAAGTCAATTTAATAGCCTAAGGAGTGAAGAAGTTTCCAAAATATTTTGAGCTTTTTTGAGCGACAATCCGTCAATAACGACTTATTGAGGCAACATGACGAGTAGGAAAGAATACTACGCTAGCAGAGATGCTTTCAAAGTGTATCTATTTTATTGGTTTCCTCGACTCGATGCAATCTCGTACCCAGGCTCTTTCCACTACGCGCCTCGCTGGAGGAAAGACCCTGGTCCAGGCTGGTCACGTGTCTCCCAGATTTTGGGAGATAACAAAATTTTTACATAAGGCCACATAAAAAAAATAGTTGGTTAGCGTCCCCGCCCGCCCACAAAAAAGGCCCCGCTCAGGATTTTTTTTTATTTTTTATTTAAAAAAATCCCGACTTTTATTGATCAACGGGCTCTAATATATGTAGTATTTCTGTTGACTGTAGTCAATTGTGTTAATAATTTGCGAAATTGCGTGCGAAAATGACGGTATGAATTATATTTTGAAATATATAAAAAAATATCTGTACTGCGCAAGAAAATCCAGTTTCGGACCTAACAGTGAGTAAAACCAAGGCGTTAAAAATTAGTAAAAATTAAAAAAAAAGCGCCCGCCCGCCCACTTTTTGGCAAAAGCTAAGGACGCTAACCAACTATTTTTTTTTATATGGCCTAAGGGTGGGAGACTAAGTTTGTTTTACCGATCTAGTTGCCGATATCAATGCGATAAAGTTCAGAGTGTGTGTATTAAACAAATGCATGTAATTTTAATGAATAGCAAGAGCCTGTGTTGCAAAATCAATGGGTGAGATGTCTTTGTATATGTATTCTTTGTGGATTGCATTTGCGATGTCACTACGCAAGATCTAGCTACATACTGGAGTCTTTCAGTTTCATATTGGAAAATCACAAAGAATTACTAGGAAAGGATTTGTAATATACTCAAGGACAAGCAAAGAACATTTGCCTATAGCAGCCAACAGCGAGTCTATTGTAAATTGCCGTAAATTTTAATCATGAGTGGAACGGCTCGATTACAGTCATAACACGACACGTGCATATAGAAATAACAGTAAGAAAATGTATTATATACCGTAGTGTGCACATGAGTATTGATAGTATGTCTATGGAGTTTTAGTACATATTCCATTTCCTCGTGTTTCAAAAAGACAGTACTCAGGGGATTATATATATATATATATATATATATATATATATATATATATATATATATATATATATATATATATATATATATATATATATATATATATATATATATATATATATATATATATTATAATATATATATATATTATAATATTTCGAAATTACTTTACAGTTTTAATTCTTCATGCACATATGTTTTTAATAGAGAGTCTCAGCTTGGCGTTCATACGTTAAAAGACAAACGGCGGGCAAAGGGATAAAATAAGCTATATAAAGCAATAGAGAGTAAATAAACTTGCTATTTTAAAACTGCATGTATCAGTCTGTATAATGATTCTTTTGATATAAGAATGAAAATATGAAGCGAAGAAGTTTAAGCGAAAATGCTGCAAATTTGACTCGGCCGTTTGACTCCCTCATATATAAACAAACATCCAGACCAGGTGTTTGTCAGATAAATTCCGTTAATTTAAATTTAACTGCGCGTATTAAAGTACAAACTTTAGAAATTTATTGGGCCTTACTTGTATGCCTTATCTGTCGTAACATGTTAAAAGTTTTAAAAGAAATTCTAAAACAGAATACAAAGCTTTCACCCAGCTAAAGCAAGAGCACAGTATACAATTTTATGTAAACATTGATCATATTTCACTGGGGAAACAATAGATTGCAAATAAATACGCTACTATAAATACCCAAAATATAGGACTTATTAGAGAGAATATCAAGCTAAATATTCTGTATATTAATGTACTTATTTATTCTTCATTGAAGATCTTCAGTTCAACAAAATTGGAAAATCGACCACACAGACTTTACGCGAACAGCGGGTATTTTATAATCGCTTACAAATTTCAATTAATATCCAATCATGATTCTGGTTAAACAAATGTTCTGCCGAATACAACACTCAACAGCAAGATTCTGCCTGATCTGAGGATTCTGCCTTTTCTTGTTGATATGTAGAACTAAACCCGAGACTGTGTCGTTGAGTGAGCTTCGAGAAGAACATCTATCGTCTATTAACGTTTTTAAGAGTTTAATTTCAAACGTCCAGCCAGGCCTTATTAACAACTTCGTCCCTTACAATAACCATTATGACGTATTTTATTGAAAATTCATGCCAATAAAAACTTCGTTTCATGGTATAGTCCTTTGTGTTGCTTTATTCACACTCCTTGTATTGTTTTGAACTCGAACGCCACATTTGCCTTCCCTACCCCCCATAAGTCCCAATTGTTATCTCCCAAAATCTGGGAGACACGTGACCAGCCTGGACCAGGGTCTTTCCTCCAGCGAGGCGCGTAGTTGAAAGAGCCTGGATACGAGGTTGGACTCGATGGAGTCCAATCTCGTTCCCCGAGCCTGCGATCCTCTGGAAGGAACGCGAGGCTCTGGGATAATCCGTTTCAGGGAGGAATCTGATTGGCCGTTGAAATGTATGCGTAGTTCAATCTTAGCCAGAATTCCTGGCTTCCGGCAACGGATTATCCCAGAGCCTCGCGTTCCTTCCCAAGGATCGCAGGCTCGGGGAACGAGATTGGATGGAGTCGAGCGCGTTCCATTTCTCAAGTGATTTCTGCGTCTGCCCATGATCTACCTACATCCTCAAGCTTCTATACCAAAGGTTTTCAAGAAAAGAATCCAAGAAGGATTGGAGATTGCTCCCAACATAGCTACACTGTCGATCCTTCAGAGAAATCGCTTGTTGAAGCCCATCAATCGAGGTTTTATTAATGACTATAAAATTATCTTTGTTACACTATTTCACTATCGTTATATACGAACTGTTTATCTATTTTATTTACAAACTGAAACCCATAATATAATTATAAAGGCCTAAAGATATGATACTCGTGAGTAGTGAGTTGTCGATGAAAAAATAATGAACAATTTGGAGTGAACATGTTTGGGACTTTTGGATGGCTGTTTATATAGATGTGTTATTGTCAGAGTGATAATCTACTTGCCTGTGACTTGGCTGTGGCAGTGCTTTACTGTCTTTGACTGTCTGCCCATGGACAACTTGTGCTCATTTAAAACTTAATAGAAACACATCAAAACGTTTCTCTGATCAAAGTATATTTTAATTCGATCAAAGCACATAACAGTTTACAGTAAATGCCTTTTTGTTGCTCTGAAGTTACAGTACTTGACCTAATGGGGTGTTTAATTATATGGGAGGCAAGCCAGCTCGGGTGCTTGAGCTAGCTCGCTTGGCCGAGATCTAATGTTCCTAGATAATTTATACTAATATTCGTATTGTGTGTATATGAGAACCAGGCTGGCTTGCCTAAGCGAGATCTTGTTTAATTTGTGAAGCCCGACAGAGCCCCAGATCTCGCCTAGGTGGGCTGGTTTGCCTAAGCCGCTGAATACGAATAATATTGTACTAATTGTAGTAAATAAGACTTTCTCAACAGATTTTTGATCTATAATTTTAAAAATTAATGCCTCTGTGAACAATTGTGACGGTCATAAGCATGACAGTTTCTCGCGATGATTTGTTTTGGTGAGCCAGCCTGCTACATGATGAAATTAGCTAGGCAAAGCCACCTAGCTCAGGTAACCGGGCTTGGTTGCCTCAATATAAACACCCCTAAGACATTTAGTTTATAAAAGATTTTGAACGTATATGATGTAAACAAACTCAACTAATAATTACTAGTATATTTTCCACCCTAATTGTAAGTAAAAGCTTGCACATAAGAACATAAGAGCCTGTCAGGCTAATTTTTTTATTTAGACACCCAATATAAGAATCTGTTTAGGCTAGTATTTCAGGTTCTTATTTTATCACATGGAGACCAGTCAAATCTAAAAATGTATATAAATTAAAGAGAATAAACTCTTCACAAAGTAGTGAAAATGATCCAGAACACTGAAAATGTCATTGAGATAAATAAAGTGTTAGCAGCTTTACAGTATAGCTTTACACATAGCTATTAGTTAGATAATTTGTGCACAATTTATATACATGTATATACATGTAATTTATACCTCGCATACCAAAAATGAGTCGCTTTTCTTTAAGAATTTAACCTAATTTCCAAGCTATAATGATCATGTAGGGCCAAATAAAAAAATATGTGGGTTTCCGGTTTCCCGACCCTACCTAGCTTTTGGACGTCGAAATCCCGACCCTAAACTTTTTTATTGGATCACGCTTGTAAGTGTTTCCACTTAGAGCAAAACGTTTGTGGAAAATGAAAATTTGAGGCAATATTAGGGAAATTTATGTTTGGATGTGGAAGCACTGACTAAACAAAATGGCGTCCGGTTGTTAGGAAAATTAAAAAAAAAAGTTTTAAAAAAAAAGTTAAAACCGACCTACCCTACCTAAGTTTTTACAAGAGGAAACCGGAAACCCACATATTTCTTTTTTGCCTAGTCACATGTATTGTCCAAAGGTGGGGTCTGAAATCCGAGCTTTCTTTCTCCTAGATGGATTGCCTCCTACCCAAAGCAATCTGAAACACAAGTCAGTTCATATTGTACTATGATTGCCTAATCTTGTGTCACAAAGAGTGGCACCATCCTATATATATATATATATATACTGGATCCAGAAAAGTTTGACCTTCGAATATATATATATATATGTCGGCCATTTTGAATTTTCTTGGGTTAATTATACGCGAACGCATACATCAAATGTCGCTCGCAACGTACTGTATATTGCAATATTCCAACAGCTCAAATAAGTAGAGGATCATTGCTTGAAGTTCTTACACATATTTGTAGTAGCTATCTAATGAACATTTGAGGGTTGTTAGCTAATTAACTCTTGTCACAATTTGGAACCTGATCTTTTTGGCATGTCGTAATTTATTCTTTTGCATCCTTAGAGATTTAGACGCTTATTAGCATGCCTCGATGAATTTCTTTGTTTATTCTTTCGTATTCACTTGTGCTTATTTTATAGCTGTAACCTACGTCCAGAATTATTATATTAAAGAGTTTGGCAACCTAGAACGGCAACGACAACTGCAACGGGGAAAATATAATTGCTTATATTGTTGTATTTCAGCCAAAGTATACGTTACTACACTTAATTTGCCTCATTAAGTATTCCTGTTTCTTTCAAACGTACCCTTAAATAAAAATAGTCCGCGAATTCAATAAAACTCTCGATAATAACATCGAACGAATGGATTGTTGCCGTAGTCATGCACCGTGAAAATGATGCAAATCACGTATTAGTTTCAACAACTACGGCATTGCACAACGCTTAAGACCATGTACAGTAATTTACATTCGCCTTTGTCTTTGAGGATTAATGCTATTGTTAATGACCATATTGCCGTTGCGGTTGCCCTTGTATTTGCCGAACTCTCTATTATATTTTGCCAACGGAAATTTTAACGGAATCGATAGTCATTCGATATTTCATCCCCTGAAACTCAGCACACGCAGCATTCGTGACCTGGCGAAGCAGAAACGTTCATTTCCTACTAGCCATTATGTTCATTTCCAAATGTTCATTTCCTACTAGCCATTATGATTATGTGCAAAGACATCAATCAATGATTCTTTTATTCATTTGAGCTGTTGGAATAATATTGCAATATACAATACGTTGCGAGCGACATTTGATGTATGCGTTCGCGTATAATTAACCCAAGAAAATTCAAAATGGCCGACATATATATATATATTCGAAGGTCAAACTTTTCTGGATCCAGTGTATATATATATATGTATATATATATATATATATACCATATAAATATATATATATATATATATATATATATATATATATATATATATATATATATATATATATATATATATATATATATTGTCAGAACAAGCTGCCATGCCCATGGCCTGTTTTGTAACATGAAATCAAACAACACAGTAAAACCCTGCATATAATAAGAACCTAGATTTTTTCCAAGTTAGCCTAAACAGGTTCTTATGTGAATGGTGCTTACCTGAATTCATGTCACAAACTGCAATTATATTTAGTATATTCAGTACTTTCATGGAGGCACAAGCCCTTGAGTCATATTCATGCCTATACCCTTGGATATATGTGTTTTAATAATAAGTGTTTATAAATTATTTGTATTATCATATAACCCAATAAATCTGTTAAGAAAAAGAAAGACTGATTCGTTGATGTAAATAAAAATTTCATCAGTGTTTCCTGAGCATTCTGATGAGCTCTGATATACAGCGAAACAAGCATATATTTAGCAATTGCATGTCCTCTGGCTCTGTCTTGAAGAGACATGATGAACTAACGTGATCACTAGATTGACCAGAATTGTTGAAGTTAATATTACTATTAGATCATTCAGTGTCACAAGAATATCATCATTTAGTGTCAATATGAGAGTAATATCAATGAATTCATACTTCCAGTTCATAATTTCAAAACATACATATTTATAACACAACTGAAAAGTTGAATATAATCTTAGCGTCTCGTACTCTCGTCACTGTCAATCTATTGAACTCTTTTGTTGTTTATAACGAAATCATCTCCATAGCGCGCACGAGCTTGAACAAATAAAGCTGTATATCCATCTTTTGCACGGTCAAAAATTTCGCCCTTGGCTTTGCCACGAAGACAGGAACTGCAACCACATTCTCAATCACACTTGTTTCGAATTTCGTCAATCGAAAAGCTTTACCCAAGGCCAAGCGCTTCTGTCATAATGACAACAACAACACTGGCAACATGTTTCGAGGGATTGATACCGCATTAAATATATTCATGATGAGACACTCCAAAGGTAAACACAAATTATTCGAACTCACACCTTCGGGATTTCGGTTCGCCGCCCCAGCTGTTGATATAGCAAGTCCCACAACGTTCAAAGCGGCATCTTTATAACTTTATTCACGATGTTTACAGTTAAACAGCTACAGTATAAGATTGTGTTTATATTGTGTACAAAAATTTCCAGTGTAGAAATGTACAAGAAATGAAGCGAAGTATTGTCAAACATTGCACTCCTCGGTCACAAATTATGTGGAATGTTACTTTGAACTCGTCATATACTTCATCTTATATAATTAATGTGGATCAAAACAAAAAACGTAAACAAAGCCCGCGCATGCGCAGAAGGGACTGTAACCTACATTTAAATTCGATCGTATATTATAAAAGTAGCCTCGAGGTATTTTAAAACTAACCTCAGTACGCTTTTGTTCACAATGTAGCTGCTTCGTTTCTCCAAGTTTCCTGAGAAAATTCGTCCAGTAAGTAACAGTATAATTCTTGTATATTTTAAGTTGATTTTGTATGAAAGTAGCAAACGAGCTCGTGTTGATAAACAAAGTCTGAGGCTTTCCACCCCTTCAGAGTTGTAAATCCTGTTTCGCGGCGTTTTAAAGCCATAATACTCAAATTTTTTTGCTCAAAATTCTTCTTGTATGCTTCTATCGTTGTGATTGTAAAATTGGCCCGATCGGAAACGTAGCCAAGGCAAAAAACGCGAAAAACTACCGTCTGTAATACAAATCTATACAAAAGTGGGGCCCCAGAATCGGGTGTCGGCCGGTGACTTCCGGCTTCACTTTTGTATACTATAGACACAGAGGAGGTTGGAAGCCCTTCCCGGCATGCACCGTAACTCATTAATATTATCGATTTCCCGGGACGCGCCGTCATTGTTCGACTAGCTCTCGTTGTGTTCACTGCTCAATTTACAAGGAGCGGTATTCAAAAGTACAAATTGAAAATTGTAAATCAATTCATGGCGACTTTTCGTACTGTTCGTGGCAACAAAGCTACTGATTTGGATGGACATGACAATCTTTATGTACATTGTGTGTCAAAAGAGCGACTGGAGCTGCTTCGTGAAGGGATGTCGAACTTCTAGTTTTATGGATAACGACAATGGCGTATTAAGAAGTTGACTTTATATTATATGTTCGCCGAATGCGATAGTCCTTCATTGATAGAAATCTATTCTAGTTGTGACCTTAAGGTACGATTATTTATGATTTAATTGGTGGGAAAATGGGCCATTTATACTCGGAAATCATACAAGTATTTGACTTGATTCAAATGAGTCAAATCTATTTTAATATAAAAGCAGGGAGGACGTGCACTTTGAGTTATAGAAATTCTGCCTGCTAAATCTTATCTCCAGTTTTGGCAAAGTTATGTGGTGTGAACTTGAATGTGACCCGATTAAGTGTGTTTGTGCATTTATAGTTCCTTGAGTAGACTTGCCAGAACACAGAACAGCTATTGTCAATGGAACATGCACAACCAGGCTTTCATTGGCAAGTCAACACATAATTGTATGTCTATAAAGGTGCCCTTGCCTTTTTACTGTTCCGTCCCTGTATAAATGCATCAAATCTTTTTTACCTGTAGTACCGGTACTTATGTTGTGTTCTGTTGTGGGTCAGTTTAACATTATTCCATCACCAACTTCTGTAACAGTCTGACCACCCAAGCTGGATATTTTAGAGGATATACTGAATGACCTACCACTGGTGAATTTAGATGAGCCATTGTTATACAATTGCATTAAGCAGCCATTAAATCCTATGTGTTTGGTTAAAATTCATGGTGAAGAGATGCCTGGTGATGTTGAAAGTATTTGTGCAGAAGGTGGAGTTACAGACATGGACAAGATTGATGAAATTCAGCAGTTGACCCAATTGTTGGGTGTGGAACAGACCACTGGTGATGCTAAATACATGAATGATTCAAGCTCTGATTAGGAGAATGATGGAGACAAGGATTCTGAAGGACAAGGATTGTGGAGGAGACACATTGTATCCTGAGAATTAAGACAAGGATTGTGGAGGACACTTTGTATCCTGAGAAGTTTGTTGTAGCTGGTTCCTGGCGAGAACAAAGATACCAACTTGTGATAATCGTGTATAGATGATCAAAAAATCTCAAGTTGAAATTTAAAGTAGAACATAAGCAAGACATTTTTAGTTGAGATTTTCATATAAATTTATTCCTATTAAAACACTGTTATTATTTCAGGTAAATATTTGATATTAGTATTTTTGCACAAGTGAACATAACAAATCCTACAAGGTGATTGGTCAAATTTGACGTATTAATCTGTTATATTATAACAAAATCGAAATTTTCAAAATGGCAGCTAGCCGTTTTGTTGAAGTTAGTAATAAAGAAATAAGCGAAATTAAAATGAATTCAGACCAGAAAAATACAAAAAAACTTGTGCAAAAATACTAAAACAATTATTCGCCTCAGGCTCTGTGATTATCGGGGAATATTCACCTCGACAAATATTCCCCGATAATCACCTCGCCTTCGGCAAATAATTGTTAAATATAATTTTACCATTCCTTTTTCAAATAAATAAATGTTTTCAAACTCAATTTGCTGTGTTTGTTTACTGCAGTTATCAAATCCCTACTTTATCTTATAGTCCACCTTGTGCATGTGTTCTTAACACTGTTTTAACTGTTGTATATTTAGCATAGATGGATAACTGATCTAACGATGGATCCAGTATGTGATAGGGAGGGTGCTCTGCCAGCTCTGGTGCCAAGTTGTGTCAGTCATGTGCGCTGCCCACCCATCAACTTACTTGACTACAGCAAAGTTTTGCTTGACTACTCTATTGTAATTGTTGTTAACAAACAATTTACTTATCATCGTGTTGTTACTCA